TGCTGGGATTCCATCTGGTCCCGGTGTTTTCCCAGTTTTAAGCATCTTGATTGCATTCAGGACTTCTGATTTCGTCGGGGGGTCAGTGTTCACTGGTAGTTCTGCTTCCGTTGTTGGTATTGCTGGACGTGTTGTAGGTGGCGGACGATTTAGAAGTCTTTTGAAGTGTTCAACCCAGTGCTTTCTCTGTTCCACCTCTTTGGTGATTGACTTTCCATTGTCGTCCTTTATTGGCTTAATCTGTGTCGAACGTTTGCCCGAAAGGTTCCTAGTTGTTTGGTAGAGTGTGGCGAGGTCTCCTTTGCCTGCAGCTTGTTCTGCTTCGTTTGCCATGGTTTCATAATATTTTCTTTTGTCTTCCCTGGCACTTTTCTTCACTCTTTTGTTCAGTGTATTGTAGCTTGCATTCAGCTCCTGTTTTTGTTGCTCGTCGTGCACTGGATAATCTTTTGCTTCACTGTCCTTCTCTCTTCTATTAGTTTCCAAGTGTCCGTAGTGAGCCACTGTTTGTCCTGTCTCTTTTTTCTGCCTAGAATTTCTATGCAGGTTTGGCTCCACACCGTTTTCAAGTTGTTCCAGTGCTTTTCAACGCCGACCTCTTCGCTAGTGTTGATTTGTGTCTCGGCTTTGTCCTTTATGCTTGCAATGAAGATGTCCTTTGTAGCCTGGTCCTTCAGCTTTTGAGTGTTGAACTTGGCTTGTGGTCTATCTGCAGCTCCTGATTCCCTGAAAGCTTTTAATTTGATTTGGATTGTCCCTTGTACGAGATAGTGGTCTGAGCCAACGTCTGCTCCTCTTCTTGCTTTTGTGTCCAGTAGGCTGCGCCTCCACTTCCTTGAGATTGAGATGAAGTCGATTTGGTTTTTGGTTTGCCCGTCTGGTGACACCCATGTAGCCTTGTGGATATCTTTGTGCTTGTATACACTGCCACCAATCACCAGTTCGTTGAAGGCGCAGAAGTCGGCGAAGAGTTCTCCGTTTTCATTCATTTCTCCTAGAGCTTCTCTACCCATGATGAGTTCCCTTCCCGTATTGTCTGGTCCCAGTTTGGCGTTCATGTCTCCCATTAGTATTTTCATGTCGCCAGCTGGAGTATTGTCCATTGTTGCCTGTAGTTGCCTGTAGAATTCTTCTTTCTTCTCGAGGTCTGCGTTGTTTGTGGGTGCATAACATTGTATGATTGACACTTTCCTTCCTTTGGAGTTGAACCTGGCGGTCATTATCCTGGACGAAATCGCCTCCCATTGTATCAGGGCTTTCGTTGCCGTTGGTGACATCATGATAGCCACGCCCTCGGTGTGCGTGTGGTTATCTTCTGGGTGACCGGAGTAGATCACTGACTCACCTGTTGACAATTTGGTGAGTCCACTCCCATTCCATCTGCTCTCACATATTCCCAGCACTTGTATTCCGTATCTTTTCATCTCGTTGGCGATCTGGGCAGCTTTCCCAGTCTCGTACATAGTTCGGACGTTCCATGTTCCTACACAGACTTTTTCTTTTGGTGCAAGGAGGTTCATCATACTGAAGTTTCTTTAGCAATTTTTGTTTACAGGGTGGGGTTGCTAGCCTCACGCCTGAGAAAAGAATGATTACATTAAGTAAAAGTTTAGAGAGAAGCAACTTTTTGGGTTGCTCCCCTCAAAATCAGAAAATAACGGACAAACAATGAGAACAACATCAACAAAGGAAACAGTTCACAGAAAAAAGGGCAAAAAGCGACGACAACTATACAATAAGACAACATGCAATATAGTTCAGTACAGTTAACTAAAATGATATCTTAACCATAAACTCACTGACTTGGAGCAACTTGAACATATAAATCCAACAATATATACAATTATAGATGTGTTTATGTTTAAAAATTCCACAAATCCAAACAGTGAGTTATGTGTATTATCTGTCAATAAGATTGTATTTTTTGGATTCAGTGTTCGAAAGGTTAATAATTGTGATTTATTAGTGTAATATTTGTTCACAGACCTTAGTTGTAACAGTGATTATATGTTGGTGTTACAATAAAGAATCCTCGAGTCAACAATTGGTGTTTTGGTTTTTTCGTCCGTTATTACTAAGCGTTTCTGAGAAACTTCAAGGAACAGTGTGAGCCCGAGTGCAGGAAGAGCTGGGCATTAACGGTTTACGAGACGTGGCTGACAACATATATTCATCTAAATAACTACAAATCAATTTCTTTGGAGTTCCATTTATAACCCTTATGCTGTGTTTCAAACTCTCTCATAATGCTTCTATATAATCTGTGTGTGTCCTCGTATCGGGATCCAGAAAATCACTTGAAATGTTCACTTTATTTTGAATATATCCCAGAGACGACAGGGAATGGTAACCTTTGCATTGTATCGACTTCTTTACTAAATAAACAATGAACAAATAAATATTTGAAATATACGACATGAAATTGTTAAGTTTATTGAGAATTTCATTATTTTCAAATTCAGTTCTCCACTTCAAATCCTTTCATGGATGCGATGGGTAAAAATGAAGATACATTCAGTCAATATGAAGCAGATACAATGGCACAAGGTGAAATGAACACGTCTCCAATAAAAATGTCTTCCCTTCCAAATTCTAAATTTCTCATTGAGTAACAAAATGAAAATCAAGTTCTCAGTAGTTTGAGGAATCCAGTACTAGAAACAATGAGAGCAGTTGAATTTACCACTAGCACGAAAGTTTCTCTTTAATGTTACTGATCTGCATAGCATGTTGGATTTCATTCAAAGTCTAAAGCATCGCCATTTGTCTGCCGGTGATCTCCACACACTGAAACACTTTGTCTCATAAAAAAGATGAATACAGGCTTTGTATTATTGATCCCCGTTTTACAAGTCTGGTTATAACAGGCATTAGAGTAGTCGCCGTTCTATCTGCTATTCTTTCCACGAATCCTTTCCGGAGGGAGGTGTCGCATAAACCTATTACCCAAATATTGTTCGCTGGCTGGCGACCACGGTTCGATTTCTTTTTCACCAGCACGGTTTCATCGATGTGCACAACAACGTCTTCTCCACCCAACAAAGAATTGATTTTCTCCATTTTCCAAGAAACAATATCTCTGCAATGCTGATACCATTGAACTGTTGAGACGAGGCTATCCTCCAACTCAGCAGTTGCGGATTTCAGTAGTTTCAGGTATACAAAATTTACGTCTAGTAGAGGTGTGACCTTGACAAAAAAGTTCCTACGAAATATCAAAATTATCAGCTTGCCCTTTCTAATGCTCACTCTCTTCAAGCATATAGCGCAACGATGGATAAATCCATCAGTTGACCTGCTATACCTTTTAAAAGTCATGACACCACCACACGAACAAGTTCGCTCCCTCCGGAGCAACCCTAAACCCAGGGAACACTGGAAAACACAGTCCTCCTCAAATTGGTGATTAAAGTTTAACTTGGCCAAATTAAGTGTTAACTCATCCATCTTTCGTCTCACAAAGGGAAACAAAAGAATTTTGTGAGAAATCTACTAGCGCTATTGTTGAGTATTGATTAGGGTATCATAACCAATCACGGCTGAAATTATCCGTAATATCTCATGCAGATAAATGTATCTGTAGTCTACAGGTGATATTTATGTTGACGCTGTACGCATAAATAGACATCATATGTTTTCCTGTATTTGAGGATTATACGCAAATTTCAAGACAATCTCCGGAACATCCATACAATTGGGGCGTCATTCTCTCATCAAGCTTACTTGCAGATCAACTTCACGCTAAATACTTTTACATGAAATGAAGTATTGCAAATGTATAACTTAGAAATTAATCCACAATCTCAGTAATGTCCAATCCACAAGGTTTTGTGAATCCTACAGAAATCACATTTCCATATTTAGGAGACTATAGGCATCAAATATAAGCTGAACATGCCTAAACTCTAAACAGCTATGCACAGTGCTAACAACATAGTGAAACGCTCAACTATTGTAAAGTACACAGACCTGTTGTGTTGATGAGGATACTAATGTCACATGATGCAAACTAGAAAATGCAATCGTCATAGCGCATCTGTACTGCTTTGTCTAAATGGAAATCTCAGGAGAAATTCATCTCTACTATTGGTGATCAAAAAATATTGCAGCATTAAGTATACAGTCAGTGGAAATTGTAAAACAGACAATAAATTCATATTAATGATAATAAAGCTGAATAGATTCACTTCTCATAATCACCGCAACTCATGCGTGTTATCATACCGTGTAATGATTGAGTGCATCAATTGGAACAACAAGGAAACTTAAACGAGTAATTACCTTCTCCACTGCACTGTACTTGCAATAATCGTGACAACCACCTTCGTTTGTTATCCTATCAGTCAGCTAAGCAGACAATGGCACAATATTATTAAAGTTGAGACATTTTTGTACATTTAATCCACATAACCCATAGTACACTGCACCAATCAGTGCCAATATACATGAAATCCACTTAGAGATAACCTTTCAACTTACCATAATTCCTGTCCAACCACAGATAGTGTGAAAGGCACATCTAAATGATAACTTAGGTTCCCACAAACGATTCTGATAGAATTTGCAGGTGATTTCCAAGTACCGAGAGAATTATTTTGTCAAAAAAGACTGTTCTTCACACGAAAATAGGCTGTATTGATATCCTGTGACATGTTCATGTCATCAAGACTTCGAAGTCTTCATTGGATGATACTATGCCAAAAGGAGCAGCTTCTACATGGAGTAAACGAATTGTGTAAATGGCATTACCCTCTAACTAGCATATCTTCCTCATTACACCTATATTTTGATACAGTCCGCCTGAAACACTAATCATTGCAACCCATATGCTAAAAGTGTGTCGCAGTCAGATCACATGACGCGGACACCAACATAACTAGCCAAAAAATGGGAATTTCCCTCAGTTTAGATAACATATAACACAATTTTATTAAAAATTATTGGCGAAAAAAATTTCCAAGCGGAACTTCAACAGTACGTGATAATAAGTCCAGCCACCAATCACACCCTAGCTGATAAACGGCGCGTCGATTGACCTGTGGAGTTAGATCTATGAAGTTTGTTGGGCAAGAATGAGGAAAAAAACCGTGCTATACTACCTACTTTATGATGGGATGAACACAGAGGGACAACTTTTCAGAGCCAAGAAAGGTATTTTAATTTGAATGTTGCTTTTAACGAACAGATGATATAATACATTTCGTTCTGGACGTATCTTTGGTTGGTGAAAATGTTCGGTTTTTCATCAATTACCCAGAATCTGGTCAATCATTTCAAAGGCTAAAATATAGAGAACTTGTTTTGAAGAATCCGACCATCGGGGGCATAAATTAGATTGTTTTGATAATTTTTTCGAACTAAAAACTTCGTCAGTGTGTGGCGCGTTTCAGTTTTATTTTTCGAAAGATGGATCGGCTCCATGTTTGTCGACAAGCAATATGTACGTAAAAGAAAGCATTGCAGGGTGTGGATATATCAGTGTAGACCCTTCGTTCACTGGGAGACAAGTTATCATTGGGTCATGCGAAAAGAGCTGTGGAATGGAGTGGGATTTAAGTGGTGTTGTACTTCAATCTTACTTATCTAAAAACTTGGGCCCATTCCCTGAATGGGAATCGAGACTTCAGGCGGTTAAGGAAGGTGGATACAACATGATTCATTTTACACCTCTTCAGGTTTGTACCTTTTTTAGTGATTTTTTCGCATATGATTTTGTAGCAGGTCTTCATACATCTTATAGTTAGAAGGATCTTAGATTCTGAAATTTATATCAGAATTCCTTACATATCTTGTTGCGCAGCATCTTTCACTATTCTCAAGTGATATTGTGCATTTTTCCTTTCTTTTCAGGAACTTGGTTATTCTCGCTCCGCTTATTCCCTTCGGGATCAACTTAGAGTAAATCCCAGTTTTACCCCACCTGGAGCAAACAAAACGGTTGATTGGTCTGATGTTGAGGATTTCGTCCGACATTTAGAAAATAACTGGGCAGTACTTAGTATGACCGACCTTGTCTTCAATCACACATCAAATGATAGTCCCTGGGTCCATGAACATCCTGAATGTGCTTATAATGTTGTCAACTCTCCTCACCTAGTACCAGCTTATCTACTTGACCATATTGTTTGGCGTTTAACAATGGAGGCCAGCACAGGATCGCTTGCCAGCCAAGGCATCCCATCTGTCCTGAAGAATCCCGATAGCGAGCTGCCAGCAATGGAATGGTGGCTCACTCAGAAAATAGGTCCAGCTAAGCTGTACGAGTTTTTCTTGGCAGACATTGATTTGGTTTCACAGGAGTTTATCGTTTGGTTAAGTGAGTTTCTATAAATATAACTGGTTTCAACTCGGTGATTTATCTACATTCTTATGTATCGGACTTTAGTTTTTCCAATGTTTAATGTTTGTAACATGCTTGGTTTCCCACACAATAACAGGATGTACTTATGAAATCGTTTATCACCAGTTCTACTGGAATTTTTAAACGTTTACAGTTGAATATACTGAAGAAATCCATGCTATGTGATACCATTAAATAGAGGTGGGAAGCGCCAGTTGGTGTTTTAGTTTTGAGTTGGTATTTACTCATGTTAGCTTAATTTTTCTCTTTTTTTCGAATTCAGCTAAACAAAATTTGGACCCAAAATCTACTCAAAACACATCAAACTTGTGTCTTAAAGTTGACGGACCCAGAAGAGGAAAAAGATTTGGAGCCACTGTTGATTTTCCTACTGCTTATCAGCTTATTGTGGGGAAAGAGAGTCAACTTCCTCTCTCTCTGACCGAAGCTGAAAATGCAGCTAAAGATTTACGAAGCAGACTAACCTATTTGAATAATGATAAGATTAATGAAATCAAGCATCACTTACAAGTTGCAGTAGGAAATGTTTTGGCTAATGCTCGCTATCGATTTTATGACCCGAATGGACTAAAGCTTACAACAGTTACACCAGATACACCAATAATGTGGGCGTAAGTGTGGCACTTCATTCCTTTGATTTGAGATGTGCATTCATGGTAATTGTAATGTGTCATTACTCTTTGTTGGACATGCTGAGCGATCACTAAGCACTTCAGTGAATAGTTTATATTTACTTATACATACAAAGACATTTTTGTTTATTCTTTACTGGAACTGCGAAATAAGCTGCTGTTATAAACAACCCCTGGTTACGGGATAGCTTAGCAATATTTTGACCTTTGTATTTTCCTTTTCTAACTTCACTTTAAATTCAGCCGTATGAGTGTTTCAGATGAATGGAAATGAAGCCTTGTTATATTTCTCTCAAGTATGTTTAGGCGCGTCTGCGGTTCAATCACGCGGAAGGTTCGGGTCTGATTCTCAGTCCATACACTCCGAGACCTACTACTACTCAGTAGTAAGGCCGTAAAAGAGGAAAGGTTGGGGGTGAGGCCACCAACCTCACCCCATAAAAACCAAAGGCTGAAGCCGTATATTTCAGTTGGACGCGAATGAAGGAAAGTTTTTTAAAGTATTCGTCTGGTCGTTGCACAGCAATTACTTCTTTCGGAATTTAGAGCTGTAGGGTGTGTTACAGTCGCCCTGACACTAATTTTGTATGGCCCATATTACCTTTATTTGGTCAAAGGAATTCACTCCGGAACAATGAGTGGATATTTTACTACAATTCTTTTTATACATTTCCTTGCTAAAATTATTGTGTAATGTATGAGGTGGTGTGGTGAAATAAAAAGTGGAAATTCACCTAATATGTATAGTTACTGCAGAAAATTTCGACTGAGGAATAATTTTTTCAAGCACATCTTTGGAAAACAGGATTGGTAAAGATTGATGAGATTTGACATGGATTTTCAATAATGCCTGATTTGTAAGACCCTATATTGTAATTATATCCTGGTTAGCGTAAATACCTGCATTGTATTTTGGGAATTGGAAATATTCGATTGATCGCACTAACGTCATAAGTCAATCTTTCAAAAGGAAAGAAGGATGAATAACCAACAATTTAGGGTCATATAAGGTAGTTTTGGCAATCAGACTGATATTTAATTTCAGAAATCACTATTCAGATTTGTATCAATGTACTTTTTGTGTGGAGTATTGATTATCTGTCCATTCTCATTACTGAAACCGGTTTGAACATCAAGATAATAATCTTTTTTGCTTTGCTCAGTACTCCATTATTTCAGTATTTGTCTTACACTGTCGCGTTAACTAAAAGTAAAAATAGGTACAGAAAGCCTTATTTTATTTGAACTGTTACTAATATGCTTTATTTTTAATTTCTTCACAGATACTTTTATCATCCCGTGCCAAATGTAGAGACTATTGAACAAGCCGAAGCGGTTCTAGAAACCAAGGATGCAGCGAAAATTATGGCTTTTAACGGGTGGGTGATGAATGATGATCCCCTCAGAAACTTTGCAGAGCCCAGTTCTTTCGTGTATTTACGCCGTGAACTGATTGTATGGGGAGATTCAGTGAAGCTACGGTAATTTTTGAGAGTATTAAGTTGTACACTTTTGCACTTTTGAGGAATCTGTGTGACTGACACCAGATTACCCTTGAAGATATTAAAGATTTTGTACACTTTTGTGGACTTAAGGATTTAGAGCTTTTTTGATCTAATTTATTGTCCTTTTGGACTTCTGAAAGTACAGAAAGATACATTTATTGAAATACACAATTGTAACAATATTGGTTACAAGATTTCATCATGAGCTGACATCGGTTAGGGAACCGTTGAAAACCAACAAGGAGTACTGGACAACAATTCCGTCCTAATTTGGGGCTCTTCAGTAATGCGTACCCACCGGGGTTCGAACCCAGAACCTTCTGGTTCAAGGCGAATGTAACAACATTATTTGTTCTTACATCGTCATAACTTCATTCTTGTGTTTTTGGTAGTTTTTTTGGTGGTAGACTGTCATGAGACAATCATGCTCTCTGCTGTCACCGGTATTTCATTTTGGAGTTTAAATTGTTCGAAAGTGAGACCTATATAGAGCAGTTCACTAAATAGCTGCACTATGAGTCTGTATGTTTCCTTGATTATGATTTAGTGAAGAAGGGAGGATTACCAGTGCTCCTTAGCAAAATGATTTTTGTAACAATAGTTTTTCTCTTTGAATAATTTACATCTCAATACTGAGGAAAGTGAAGATACACTTAAACATGCAAGACAAATCTGAGGCTAAGTAACCTAAGGTCATAACTAAATTTCTAGTATGATTTTTACTCATGCAGTAATTGTAAGTATACTAAATTTGAATGGCTGTTGTCTTTTCAGTGCATCAAAGTTGGATTACATATAGTTGATTTGGCAACCTAGCTACAGTTATTTCCAAAGATTTGGTATAAACCTTTCTGTGGAAAATACTCCAAAATAAAGAGGGAAATATAAACCGAATATATACTCTTCACGAAGTATCTGCACCACCCCACATGATAGCAGCCTACAAATAGTTGCTATTTTGATGATTTTTTATCCTTTATAAGAGTAGACTGTCTGGGCTTTTAATCTGTGACTAAACAGTCTCTTGTCTGGATACCATTGTCAACAGAGACCAAAATCAATAATCAAGAAATAATATGTAAGTGTGAAGTGTTACTTCACTAAAGAATATCTATATCTTGTTTTGTCAGAGTTCTGCAGGCACTGTATGTTGTTGCAAGATTCACAGAGGTCTGTACCAATACTCGGAGTCAGGAGAATCATGAGAAGTAGTTAGAAAGTTCGTGTTTATAGGTAGTTGTACAATCACTGACTGAGGTATGAAAGATGGAATTAAAACTACAGCCTGAGTGGTTTTTGTCATCCTGGATAACTCTTAAAACCGTTTTGTTGTTAGTTTCATCACCTAACATCGGGTGTAGTCGTGCTCTAATCATGTCAAACAGGTTCTCTGAGCGACTGTGTCTGTTTAATCTCCACTGTTTCCATTGAATTTCTTGCATCCATTTGCACCACTAAAGGCGCAGTTATGACGTCATACGGCGAGTGTTTGGATGACTCTTCTTTTTTGATGAGTTGCACATGTATTGTAAATGTGACCCAGAAGTTTCTGTATCGTTCATTGTGAGCGAACACTGGCATTGATAGACAATAACGAAGAGGTGGCGCGGTGGGAAGGGGACTAGCTGTGTCAGCCAAGCACCAGTTGATGCTTCATAACTCCGTGCATTGGAACCTAGAGATCATGAAATTCATGGTCAATATATTTCATCAAATATGAGTTGAAGTCAATGACGAACATGCGTGAAATTCTCGCTTTCAGAAACGCAAAGCAGTATACATTAATGGAAATTTCTATATGTATACTTAATAAGTACTGTTACCTGTTTCGTTTGGTTGTTTTCTAGTTACTTTCTTTATCTTTTCCTCATACAGTTGTTCAATAGTTCTGGTATGGAGCATATCTTGGTGGTCATACCGTACCTGGCATATGTTTAAATAAAAGGTCTTGTAATATAGATGCTATTCCCGAGCATTTTTAACTATGTGACACAAGTAGTTTGATCTGCCGTTTAGTTCTGATTATCACCACTCCAATCAATCAATTGACTTGGCTATAAAGTCACATAGATTGAGATGGCTAGGTCACGTGCTGCGCATGCCTAACCATCGCCTCCCCCGACGGGCATTACTAGCTGATTTAGGTGCAGGTTGGAAAAGAGTAAGTGGTGACCAAACGAAAACATGGCATCAATCCATGAAATCCTTGATAGTTAAACTGAGTCCGGTAGGGAGATGCGGACTTCCGGGTTGGGGCCCTCGGGACTCTAGGAATCAATGGCTGGAGACAATAGGTGACATGGCTCAAAATCGTTGTCAATGGCCAGCGCAGATGTATTCAATCTCTGTAATCTTTCATATTTCTTTCTACCATTACCCGTTCTGTTTCGCTCTTATACTTGTCAAACTCTATTGATACTCTTCACTCATCTTCTTGTCTACCTTTGTGTGCTATTTGGAACGTGGCAACTCGGAATGATGAACTTCGGTGCCAAGTTCTATGTTGAATCCAGACAGACAGACAGTCACCACTCCACTTATTGGTTGTGAATTGACTAGATTGTATCTTAATCGGATTGGTTTGCCAGTAGAGGTGTTTATTTTGTAGCGCCTGTCCAATTGTAGAAATTTGATTAGAGTTTGTTTTTGCCACGGAAACCGTCGTTTTCTGTCTTTTATTTAGCCATTGACTGTACCCCAAAACTTCGCAAATATGAATCAGGTTGATCTTCACGCAGTTATGATAGGAAAGTTCCTCTTCATGCTGAGAAACTGAAATGATCAACAGTAATGATATCTAAATTATTCAATCTCCTCACTTAATGTTTGAATTTTACACTTATTTTTTGTTTCGCATTGCAGTTATGGAGATAAACCTGAAGACAGTCCTTATCTGTGGGATCGAATGACAAAGTATAGCGAACTAACTGCAAAAATATTTCATGCAGTGCGATTGGATAATTGTCATAGTACACCTCTTCACGTGGCACAGTATATGATTGATAAAGCTAGAGCTGTACGGCCAAATCTTTATGTAGTCGCAGAGTTATTCACTGGTGGAGAATATGTTGATAATATTTTCATTAATAAATTAGGCCTTAGCTCTTTAATACGTGGTAAGTTTTGATAAGACTTTGGGTAACTATTTAACACTCATTATTACTATTATCAAGCATAACTCATTAATTTGTCTATTGAACGGATTACTTATGCTGTTTGCTTTGGTTACTCTTCGGTCACCAGATGTTAATCAACACCAAACTGTAATATTCGGTGTTAGTTGCAACAGTATATATATATATATATATATATATATATATATATACGAGTTCGCATCGGAGACTTGTCATAGTTGTCGTCTACTGACCGCATTTTACACGCAGTATATTCTTGTTTCGTGTCATTAGAGTTTAAAACACGTCAGCAGAAATATTATAAACTCTTTTGGTAATTGGGTAAAATATCGAAAATTATTTTGATTTTAATCCTTCGCTTTCCCAGTGGAACATATAGCTTCAAGCTTAATCTGTGAAGCTTCATTAGCAGTGATTAGGTTTTGCGGGGTGAGGTTGCTAGCCTCATGCCCAAGTTTCCCCCTTTACCGGGCTTTCTACCGACTAAGCGAGATTGAGAAGTGGGTCAACGAGGGATCGAACTTCGGACCACGTATGTGAACCACTGATGTACCAAACATTGGATAGGGAATGCTATTATTTTTGTCAGGAATTACTGCTTGACAAAAAAACGTAGAAATTTAGACAATTACCTTAGTAACAATAAACTTAATTCATTGTTGTATGCACTTTTTTTGAAGTGGTAGTAGAAATTTTTGGTTGGGGTGATTTTGATAAGAGTTCTGTCGTCTCTAAACTTGGATATAGGATTATGGATATTTCATTACCAGATAATATGATTTAATAGATGTTCATATGACAATCCTCTTGACTTTTTTCAAAGATATCTTTATCCAACATCATTTATCTGATATGTGTAATTTTATCTTTGATTATATAGTGCTTAAATCAGGTTTTCAATCAGAAATGTGTAAATTTTGAAAAATAGTGACATTTTGTTATCAGTGCTATATTTCTGTCGATTTGAGGTGATTCGTTGAAATCTGACTCATTCCAAAGATTTTTACATAGTAAATATGTCAAGGATGTTTATTCTTTTATTTATTCATTTACTTTTTATTTGGTACATGAAACTTGTTTGTTGTTGGTTTGTAAAATATCAATTTCGTCATCAATTTTCTATAACTTTGGTTAAATTAAATGATCTCTACCGTTAGAGTCATTATCAGCCAATGATTGTCAAGATTTGGGTCGACAAGTGCATCGTTACGGTGCAGTTCAACCTGCTGGAGCATTTTTTGAAAGATCAAGACCACGTCGTTTATATCCAAGCATATCGCACGCTGTCCTGTATGATCAAACACATGATAATCCCAGTGTATTGGAAAAACATTCTGTTTTCAACTATTTACCACTATCTGCGATTGGATCGTTTGCATGTTGTGCAGTAGGTAGTACGCGAGGTTACGATGAATTAGTTCCACACTACATTGACGTTGTCAAAGAAGAACGCTACTATTCTCAGTGGCCTAACCAAGTGAATTATGATATTGGCATAATTAAGCCTAAATCTATACTAAATGAATTGCATAGATGGTTATCATCTGAAGGATTTTATGAAGCATTTGTTGACCAGGTACACGATATATCTTTCAATGTTGTGTTTAAAAGCTTAATGATTTCAACTTTGATTTAATTACTTAAATGTTGCATTATTTGTGTTTGTGTAGTTGATTGGTTGACTTAAAATATTTAAGCCTAGCAAAATGTTTTGTAAGTTTGTTCTGAAATGCCATGGGTAAAAACAATCAAGAATGCAGTGAAGAAATGGGAACAATTGTGATATCATCGCTTAAAGTACTATTTCAAGCAAACATTAAAAGTCAGTGTAGTAAGCAAACTTTATATATAATGGAATCACGATCAGTGCAAATTGAAACCCATTTATATAAACCCACATCCAACTGTCATATTGTTTATTCAGTTTTTTGACTACATGTGATGGCAGATAATATTCACCCTGTTCTCACATTACTGATTCCCACAAATCGCCATACAATTGTACTTATCTGTATTAGTGTTATCTAAAGGAGTTTATGTGAAGCATGGTTTGATTGTACAATCAATCTCATATAGCCTTATCCTATGCCTATTTTTTCATATGAATAAAGAAACTAAAGGCTAATTAAAACAAAGGAAAGTGTAATATAAAAAAGATTAATAATACGGTTGTGGCTGTTTGATAGTTTAGTTTGATGATAAGGTTTAACACACAAAATGATTTGACAAGTAGATGTGTAATTAAATTGTTTGCAGTGTATTGTACAGAAGTATTATATTCTTCAGATAGACTTTTTCTTAGGATAAACAATAACGCCATCCGTAATTATAAAAGACAGTAATTATTTCAGTATTATTAAAGCCACAAGAAGGGATATTTTTCTATCTCATACACTTATGTTCATCCTGTTTAAGGTTCAATGGGGGAAAACTCTTACCTTTTATATTTTATGCGTTGAAACTGCGTCGGTCATAATGTTTGTTTTCGTTGTTAAGTGAGAATAGTCGTGAAAGTTAAACTGACCAGTTTGTGGTACGTTTTGACGAAATCCAGTATCGCTTGGTCTATCATTTGAAACTAGATGGCGCTATAGATCCTCATCTTGGAATTCTTAGCAGTGGGAACGTATGTCTCACTCTGTGGTTAAACGGAGGACTCTGGCATCTTATTGGTGGTCCCTTACATTCCAGTCTAAATTTTTCTAAACTTTCACTAATTTTGTAATGTAGCGTAATGTAAACTATCACAGATCTGCCCAATAGCTGAACGCTAACATTTGTGTCACGTGGACTACTGCCTTTAGGTTTGACCTCACAAGGGAATTGTGATTGCCTATTGTTTGAGATGAAGAGGATGGCAGAAAACAGAACAAAGTGTAGATGTCTTGTTGAAGCCCTATGTTTCACTCGGAACGCAAGGAAATAATAGTAACATAATAATTGTTTGAGTCCCCTGCTTCTTCGTTTCCAGTACTCCACCCAACTGTGGTGACCTAGGCTTAAGCTGTTTAAGAACACTCCACTACATTATTTTATAGTTCAAGTTTAAAACAGTTACGTGATTTAATACGATCTACATCTTGGTTCATTTGCGACGTGCTGATGCTTAGACTGGATTGAATGAGGATATATGAGAAACGGTGAATTTTAATCCTATTGTCCATTTTTAAATTTAAATGGGTCACGAAATTTAGAGCTTTCGACTGTTGATATAACTCTTGGAAACTTAATACGAGAATGACATGATTATTACTACCATTCCCTTGGATTCCGAGTGAAACATAAGGCTTCAGCGACACATCTCTACTTTCTTCTGTTTTCTGCCATCCTCTTCAGCTGGGTCCACGATTGCCCATAATCTCTCGTCTCCTCTTCAGTCGATCTCCTCTATGTCACCCTCGCACTGACGACCCAGTCGTCGCTTCCCATATGGATTCCACTCGAGCGATGGCCTGGCGCGCGATTCCCGTCGATGGCTTCCTCAATGTATGCCCGATCCATCTTCTTTTTCGTCTACATACTTGTTGAGCGGTCGGCTGTTGGTTGGTTTGTTGCCTGCCAGCCAGAGTTTCTTGTCACTAATTTGATCTTCAGTTCGGAGCCAGCGAAGGTAGCTGTTGATAAAAACCTGCAATGCTCTGTTGGGAATCCTTTTTGTGACACGCTGGCCAAGTTTCTCACCCGTATAAAAGAAGTGACTTCACTGACATTTGTGTTGAAAATGATAGTCCTCTTCCTTATACTGAGTGTAGAAGATTTCCAAACTGGTTTCAGGTAGATGAAGACATGCCTTGCCTTTCCGATTCTGACTTTGACATGTTCATCGTGCCTGTAGTTGAAATGATGCTTCCGAGATAAGTGAAGGAAGTAAGTTCTGTTAAATTTCTCCCTTTGATGGCGATTGCTGCTAGTTGTTGTTGTTGCTGCTGCTCTTGGTTGGTCGCCTTCATCACCTCCGTCTTCTCTATGTTCACCTGGAGTCCTGTCTTCTCCGGACTGCTTCTTCACCAAACACTTCTATGCGAAATCTTCGTATTTCGTTGGCTGCCTGGGTAGCCTTCCCAGCTTCGGATATTGTAAGAACATTCCATTCTTATTTTTGATTTTATGGAAGAGAAACATTGACTGTCTGACTGGCTTCGCGAAGGCTTTGACCAGCCCTTTGTGTCATGTCGCTCCTGCGATTCCACTGAAGAATAAGATTTTTATTTAAATTTTTGTATTCCTAATATATATTTTGTGCGTTGAAGTTTGTGTAGCAGTTTGATAGTTCTTGTAGTGTAGGGTCGTTACCTCCAGGCATCTCTTTCTTTTTTCTATTACGTTTGATTTGATAATTTAAGTATTATAAGCAGATAGGCTGACAATATTTCGATTAGAGAAAGAAAGATAGACGTTTTATTCTTTGAGTGTTTTTCACTTTTTTTCAAGGTTACTCCAAATATATTAGCTGTGACACGATTCTGTCCAGAAACGCGTGAAGCTGTCTTACTGGTAACGCATACAGCTTTCTACGATCCCGGTCCGAATCCACATCATTCAGATTTTCAACCAATAAAACTAGGTGGGCGAGTGAATAGATTACTGTGTGAAATTCTCAGCACCTTTAAAGGTGATTATCCACCACAGAAAAATTTCAAAAAGGATCCAAAGGTGTGTTACATTTATTTATTTAAATGTTGACGCGTATTTCACAACATAGAGGATGTGTACATGTGATTGCTTTTATTTAAGATGTAACGGTTCAGTCAAGTAATCTCTCCCCCCCCCCCCCCGAAAGTCTGGGGCCTATTTGTTGCTGTTTTCATAAAGAGTGGCGATTAAAACCAGCCTCCAAAATGTCATTTCGTCCGCTAACAAACAAAAAAACAAACCCCAAGGCTTCATTAAATACTTCATTCTTATTTCATAGACTTTAGCATTTCGTCTATTATTATTATTATTATTATTTATTATTGTATCCTTTAGTTCCTAGAGGAACATAGGGCTTCAGCTGCGCACCTCCATTGACTTCGGTTTTCTGACAACTTTTTCACCCTGCTCCAGGTCTGCCCACATGCTTTCATCTCCTCTTCACATGACCTCCTCCAAGTCACCCTTGGACGACCAACTCGCCGCCTCCCTTTCGGGTTCCACTCGAGGGCTTGTCTAGTGATGTCACTTGATGGTTTCCTCAGCGTATGGCCAATCCATCTCCATTTCTTTCTGCCTATTTGTTTCACAATCGGTTCCTGATTGGTTCGCTCCCAGAGATCCCTGTTGCTGATCTTTTCTGGCCATCTGATCTTGAGTATTGAGCGGAGACAGTTGTTAATGAAGGTTTGAAGTTTGTTTGAGATGCTCTTTATGACTCGCCAAGTCTCTGATCCGTATAGTAGCACTGACTTCACATTGGAGTTGAAAATCCGGATCTTATTTTTGATGCTGATTGCTGTTGACCTCCACACAGATTTGAGAGTAATGAAAGCTTGTCTTGCTTTTCCGATTCTGGCTTTGATGTCCTCGTCAGTTCCGCCTGTAGTTGAGACGATGCTTCCCAGGTAGGTGAAGGAGGTTGTTTCTTTCAGGTTCTTCCCATTTATGCTTATTGTGGTCTGTTGTTGCTGTTGATGTTGGCAAGGAATCTTCATCATCTCTGTTTTATCTATGTTCACGTGAAGTCCTATCTTTGATGCTTCTTCTGCCAACTTGTTACTTTTCATTTGCATATCTTCCAGTTTATGGGAAATCAGACATATATCATCGGCGAAATCCAGATCCTCCAAGTCTTTTGTGTCAGTCCATTTTATGCCTGTTCCCTCGTTGGTTGCCGTTGTCTGTCGCATTATCCAATCAATTGCAATCAGGAAGATCATTGGTGATAGTAGACAGCCTTGCCTCACTCCCGTCCTCACTTCGAAGGCTTCCGTAAGTTTCCCGTTGTGGATTACTTGGCATGCAGCATTGTCGTATAACTGTTGGATGAGGTGTATAATTGTCGATGGGACCCCGTAGTAGCGAAGTAGTTTCCAAATGACCTCTCGATCGACGCTGTCGAAGGCCTTTTCAAAGTCGATGAAGTTGAGATAGAGAGGTGACTGCCATTCCAAGCTTTGTTCAATGATGATCCGTAGAGTGGCGATTTGATCAATACATGATTTGTTTCTCCTGAATCCAGCCTGTTCCGGACGAAGTTTTTCATCTAGGGCTTGTTTGATTCTCTCCAGGATGATGCGACTTAGTATCTTGCTTGGAATGGACAGAAGCATAATTCCACGCCAGTTTTTACATTGACTTAAGTCTCCTTTCTTTGGAAGTTTGAATAAGTAACTGTTCTTCCAATCCTCGGGTACTTTGCCCTCTTTCCACACCTTCTCCAGTAGTGGTGTCATCAAGTCCGCTGTTGTCTCTGGGTCTATTTTCAAAGCCTCTGCTGGGATTCCATCTGGTCCCGGTGTTTTCCCAGTTTTAAGCATCTTGATTGCATTCAGGACTTCTGATTTCGTCGGGGGGTCAGTGTTCACTGGTAGTTCTGCTTCCGTTGTTGGTATTGCTGGACGTGTTGTAGGTGGCGGACGATTTAGAAGTCTTTTGAAGTGTTCAACCCAGTGCTTTCTCTGTTCCACCTCTTTGGTGATTGACTTTCCATTGTCGTCCTTTATTGGCTTAATCTGTGTCGAACGTTTGCCCGAAAGGTTCCTAGTTGTTTGGTAGAGTGTGGCGAGGTCTCCTTTGCCTGCAGCTTGTTCTGCTTCGTTTGCCATGGTTTCATAATATTTTCTTTTGTCTTCCCTGGCACTTTTCTTCACTCTTTTGTTCAGTGTATTGTAGCTTGCATTCAGCTCCTGTTTTTGTTGCTCGTCCGTGCACTGGATAATCTTTTGCTTCACTGTCCTTCTCTCTTCTATTAGTTTCCAAGTGTCCGTAGTGAGCCACTGTTTGTCCTGTCTCTTTTTTCTGCCTAGAATTTCTATGCAGGTTTGGCTCCACACCGTTTTCAAGTTGTTCCAGTGCTTTTCAACGCCGACCTCTTCGCTAGTGTTGATTTGTGTCTCGACTTTGTCCTTTATGCTTGCAATGAAGATGTCCTTTGTAGCCTGGTCCTTCAGCTTTTGAGTGTTGAACTTGGCTTGTGGTCTATCTGCAGCTCCTGATTCCCTGAAAGCTTTTAATTTGATTTGGATTGTCCCTTGTACGAGATAGTGGTCTGAGCCAACGTCTGCTCCTCTTCTTGCTTTTGTGTCCAGTAGGCTGCGCCTCCACTTCCTTGAGATTGAGATGAAGTCGATTTGGTTTTTGGTTTGCCCGTCTGGTGACACCCATGTAGCCTTGTGGATATCTTTGTGCTTGTATACACTGCCACCAATCACCAGTTCGTTGAAGGCGCAGAAGTCGGCGAAGAGTTCTCCGTTTTCATTCATTTCTCCTAGAGCTTCTCTACCCATGATGAGTTCCCTTCCCGTATTGTCTGGTCCCAGTTTGGCGTTCATGTCTCCCATTAGTATTTTCATGTCGCCAGCTGGAGTATTGTCCATTGTTGCCTGTAGTTGCCTGTAGAATTCTTCTTTCTTCTCGAGGTCTGCGTTGTTTGTGGGTGCATAACATTGTATGATTGACACTTTCCTTCCTTTGGAGTTGAACCTGGCGGTCATTATCCTGGACGAAATCGCCTCCCATTGTATCAGGGCTTTCGTTGCCGTTGGTGACATCATGATAGCCACGCCCTCGGTGTGCGTGTGGTTATCTTCTGGGTGACCGGAGTAGATCACTGACTCACCTGTTGACAATTTGGTGAGTCCACTCCCATTCCATCTGCTCTCACATATTCCCAGCACTTGTATTCCGTATCTTTTCATCTCGTTGGCGATCTGGGCAGCTTTTCCAGTCTCGTACATAGTTCGGACGTTCCATGTTCCTACACAGACTTTTTCTTTTGGTGCAAGGAGGTTCAGCATACTGAAGATTCTGTAGCAATTTTTGTTTACAGGGTGGGGTTGCTAGCCTCACGCCTGAGAAAAGAATGATTACATTAAGTAAAAGTTTAGAGAGAAGCAACTTTTTGGGTTGCTCCCCTCAAAATCAAAAAATGAGAATTATGAAAGGAAGCTCATGGATTTATGTTATCGACATAAATTGCAGGCAAAAAACATTTCGCGCAGCAGTATTGATTGATTATCACCTTCATTCAGCCTCATAATAGATATGTTTTTAGAGGTTTTCATTTCTCTACTTGGATTCGTAGGACTCTCTGTAGATTCCTGAGTTGACTTACAGAGTTCAGGTGACATAGTTCTGTTGGATGAAAACACTGACAAGTTTTAGACTCTTCCGAATACTTTGGCTAACTACTTGAATTTGAGTATAAGGAGCTCAGTGACTGAACGCGTCAGCCATTCCGCTTATGCAGGGAGTAATGTCACTTCTGGCGAATTTGTGATCGATGAAATCTAAGGGAAAGGTCCATTTGGCTCCCGCTAAATGCTGCAATTTATAGCTCAGACTAGGTTCTATTTTAATGAGTGAACACTGTCGCTTACTGTTATACAAATGGATGCGTTGCAAGCGGGAAACAACATGCTTATTGGATTCAGCCATCAGCTAAACTAATACTGTTTTTCCCTGATGCGTAAGTTTGAATGAAGTAACAGCAACGATTTTAACAGCAAAAGCTATTCATCCACTAACCGGATAACTAAAATTTCTGTGTGTTTGTACATGTATAGATTTGATTCCAGAGTGGTGCTTGTGTTTTGTTGACTGAAATCGTGTGGAGTATATCTTTTTTGCTTTGTAACTTCTTTCTTTAGTTCCCCTAAAAGTTACAGTCTATGGTAGTCTTTGTAATTAGACTGCTGAGCCGATCATTTCACTAATTACTCTATAATATGCTGTTCCTGTTGATGGACTTATTTTCAAGGCCATAATTTCATTCATTTTTATGCGCTATTCAGACCAAAACACGACTGCATAAATTCTCATTGTTATCAGTTTACCAAATACAGATCCTAGTGTGGTGAGATTTGGCTGCTAGCCGAAAATTGGTAGACAGTAATTTACGTCAATGTTTACGTCCCCAATATTGGTCATGAGAAAAATAAAAACAAAGACTGACTCAACAACCAATCACAGCAGCCTTGGCGTAGGCGGATGCAATCTGCAGATCGATAATCTGAATTTCAAGAAACGGCCACACAGACATGAAACATTAACGTTCAGCAAGGAACCACCAATCAGAAGACTGTGTTTGTTCGCTTACAATAATCTATAATAATGTACATGAAAATCTATACATATCTGTTGATTTCCTAAGTAAACGATCTGTTGTCTGGCCTTTGTCTTCTGCTATTACAATAGTAGTAAATATATTAAATATTTGGTATCCACAAGCTCAGAGTCTTTCTAATTGTCAGGGTTCACAGCATTATATATGAAGAGGTCTATTATTCACCTGTCCATCTAATAGTTGCAATAAAAGTAGTAACTAACGTATAATCCTAATTTGCTAGTAATTTTTATCTGATACTGTTGTTTCCAATAACACATATCAGTTTGCTTCTTTGCTGAGTAAATACCATTCGGAATTTCCAATATATCTTCTCTAAGTAGGAAAAGTAGCTAGTGGTGTGTGTATCATCACGCTTCAAAAAGTATTCTTTTAATTTCCAAAATATGTGCTCATATATATATATATATTTATAGGTCAACCTATTGGAAAATGTTTCTAATGTTACCAAAGAAGGCGTTGCTCCGTCCGCCCGCCCCTCCTGCCCTCAATGAGACTTCACAAATCAGTAAACTAAGTAGTTTTGAGCTTATGCCTTAATTCTATAGTTATATTCATTCAATTGTTTTACAAAGTTTATTTTGTTTCCCCCCTTTCTCTCTCTCTCTCTCTCCTAGTATATAAATGGTTTAATGTGTATGCAGTATTCAATTTTGCAGAATGTAGCAGCCAGTGAAAGCAGAACATTTCATTTGAATACACATCAAGATGAATCTGGTGTTGTTGTGGATAGCCTGGTATTTCATAACTTCCCACCAGGTTCAGTGGTGATTGTTTCAGTTAAATTAGACGATAATCAACAACAAGCTATTGCCGATTTGCATAATTTCATGTCACAGCAGGTTAGTGTTAATCGAATACATAGCTGTGTATAAATCACTGCATGCTCTAAGAACCGAAAGAAATATATGGCTTTCTTAATTCTCATGATTAGCAAATGATCGAGTGATGCTTAAAATATTAGTTACTTGTGCTATATATTTTCATTTATATATATATATATATCTATATATATATATATATATATATATATATATATATATATATATATATATATATATCAGCTTACCCTTTGCTGCCATTTTAACCTTGCTTGTATTTTCTCTCCAAACCGACAAAACGTTAAAAGATTGCACATAAATTCTTGATTCTGGGTCTTGTACATTAGTATTTGAGCCTCGTTCACCTGGATATTGATTTATAGCACGTAATCAGTTGAAGCTCCTGAAGATAACAAAATTGGAAAACTTTCGCTAGCACTAGGAGTCCATTTCTTTAACTGTATAGGTCGTCGTGAATAGCTTTTACTAACCGGATAGGCATAGCCTATATAAGTAAACAGTTTTTTGATCAGCCCAACCAAGTAATAAAGCATGGTTAGTATTGGAACTGTATTCAGTTACACATCAAAGGATAATTTGCCTTCTGTCATTGAATATTTATGCTTGATAAAACACATTGATGCAGTACCAACTACTGATGACATTTCGAGCACAATTTTATTACTCATAATCCCATTAAGGTGGTCACATAACCTGAAACCTATTGACTTTTATGGTTGAAATTTTAAATGATTATTGGCTCGTTTGTGGGGATTAATTGTCACCGACTTATAGCATCTTCTGTATATTGAAGCACTTGAATTGATTTTGAAAATATTGGTAGGATTGATAAAATTAATACCAGAGAAAAATTAGTCGATGGATGAGTTGCAAGGTACCGTAATTTTTTCTTGTCCCTAGCTTACCATTCGACCAGACCAATAGTGATTGTTTTAGACTCAATTACAGATACTTATTTTTATCCAAGAGTGCTATAGTATTTTTTTGCATTTGTACACCCTAACCATAGCACGAGATAATATGTCGTGAAGTAAGGGATAGTGTATTTATGTTGCGTTTTTTCGGTCGCGAACAAATACGTTTTTATGTAGTAAATTAACCAATTCGATTAGATGGTTCTACAATATTAGCAGGATTTTTATGAAAAGTTGTGAATGACGAAGATTATGCTTGAAAAATAAATGCCTTTTCTTTTTCTCACGAGGCATACGATGAAGTTTCTTTATATATACCCCTGGATAGATATAAGTATCCATTAAAAATATAGTTATACTTTATTTAAGTATCCAGTGTCTAACAGTAAATGTGTTTTATGACAACTGTATGAATCGAATTGTATTATTATCATCGTTATTATTGTTTCCGTGGGTTACGGGTGGGATATAGGGCTTCAACAACACGTCTCCGCATTGTCCTAGACTCTGTGGTCCTTTGTAGCTGGTCCTACGATTGCACATAGTCTCTTATCTCCTCGCACGAACACCCTCATGTCACACTGGGACGCCCCCAATCGACGGCTTTCTCAGAGTAGACCCAATCCATTTCCATTTTCTTCTGCGTACCTGTTGAGCGATGGGCTCTTGGTTGGCTTGTTCCTAGAGTTTTTTGCTGCCAATTCTTTCTGGCCATTTGATCGTCAGTATGAAGGCGACTGTTGATAAAAGTCTGTAACCTGTTACAAATGCTTTTAATGACACATAGTGCAAGTTTCTGATTCATATAGAAGTAATGACTGACTTAACATTGGTGTTGAAAGTCCGAATCTTGTTCTTTATACTGTGGAGCGCAGAAGATTTCCAAAGTGGTTTCAGATTTATAAAGGTGTATCTCGCGTTTACGATTCTCCTTTTGACGTCCTCATCCGTTCGGCCTACATTTGGGACGATGCTGCCTAGCTGTGTGAAGGAAGTGATCTCTTTCGAATTTACTCCCTTGATATTTGATTGCTGCTGTTTGTTGTCGCTGTTGGTTGGTTATCTTCACCATCTCCGTTTTGTCTGCGTTCATCTCATGTCCTGTCTTCTCCGGGCTACTTCTTCACTCAGTCTGTTGTTTTCCGCCTGTGAGTCATCGAGTCTCTGTGGCACTAGATATATATCATCTGCAAAATCCAGATCCCTTAGAGTCTCCTCATCCGTGGTTCAGCGTATTCCTGTCTCCTCGCTCCCAACTCACGGTCTGACGCATAATCCAGTCCACCACAATTAAGAGTATCATTGGTGATAATAGGCAGCCAGACTTGTCTTACTTCTGTGCTCACTTCAAAAGCTTCTTTGAGTTTTCCGTTGTGGTCACCTGATACGTGGCATTGTCATATAGCCAGCTGTTGAATGAGGTTGGTAAAGACTTGGGCATTGCATATCGTAGTGATGAAGTAGTTTCCGGATTACTTCTCGGTCAACGATGTGTTGTCTGATGAAGGCCTTTTCGAAGTCGATGAAGTTGAGGTAGAGAGGGAGGACTGACAGGCATTCCATGCTTTGTTCTGTGATGACGATGCGTATAGCTGCAATTTAATCGGCCCATGATTTGCCTTTCCTGAATCTAGCTTGTTCCGGTGGGGCTGGTGGAGTGCTGTATCCAGTGTATCTTATATTCTCTCCAGGATGACATGACTTAGTATTTTACTTGACGTGGACAAGAGCATTATTCCACGCCAGTTCTTGCACGGACCTGAGTCGGCCTACTTTTGCAGCTTGACGAGGTATCTTTCCTTCCTTCCAAACATTTTCAGTAGTGGCGTGAGCGCAGCATATCCACTGAGGTCTCTTAGTCTGTTTTCAGTGCTTCGGAGGTGGAGGAGTTCTGTCTGGCCTCTCTGCCTTCCCGGACTTCAGTAGCTTGATGGCATTTAGGATTTCTATTTTCGTTGGAGGATTTGTGTCCACCAGCGTTTCCGTGCCAGCTGTTGGTGGTATTTCTGGATGAGTTGCAGGTTATGGTGGATTCAAGAGTCCTTTGAAGTTATCTACCCATTGTTTTATGTGTCTCCTCTGCGGTGAGAAGGTTCTTTCGACCATCTTTTTTAGGTTCCGCCTGCGTTGACCTCTTCCCTGATAGAGACCTTGTTATCTGACATAATGTTCTGAGGTCTCTCTTACCTGCACCCTGTCTGTTCTGCTTCAGTTGCCGGCCAGTGTGTTGTAGAATTGTCTTTTATCTCTCCTAGCACTCTTCTTCACGTCTCTCTTGATTCAGTACAGTGTACATTGAATTCAACGTCTCCTTCTGTTGCCCATCATTGCATTGAGTCATGCGTTTCACAATCCTCCTCTCCTGGATTAGCTTCCAGGTATGTGTGCGTTTAGAGCCATTGAGTTTCTTGTCCCTTCTTCCTTCCTAGAGCAGTTGTCCACGCTTCCTTGTATATTGCCCTCAGGGAGTTTCAATGTTCTTCCACGTAGGTTTCCTCGGTGATAACACGTTCAGTCTCCAACTTTGCTCTGATGGCTTCAGGGAAGGTATCTTTTGTATTTTCGTCTTTCAGTTTCTGAATGTCGAAATTTAATTGTGGTCTGTCTCCAGTTGTTTTCATGGATTTCAGCTTTACCTTGGAGTGTTCTTGAACTGAATGATTGTCTGAGTCCACATCTGCTCCTCTTCCCGACTTCATATCCAGTAGGCTGCGTCTCTACTTCCTTGAGTAGCAATAAGATGAAATGTCTCTGGTTTGTGGTGTGTCTGTCAGGCGAGTCCATGCTGTTTTGCGTATATGCTTCCGTTTGTACACACTGTCTCCAACCACCAAATCATTGAAAGCGCAGAAGTCTGAGAAGCGTTTTCCATTGTCATTCATTTCTCCGAGAGCCTCTCAACCCATGACGAGTCCTGTTCTCGTATTGTCTGCTCCCAGTTTGGCTGGCATTCATATCGCCCATGAGGATTTTGATGTCGCCACTTGGGATGTTGTCCATTAATGTTTGTGGTTGTCTGTAAAAATCTTCTTTCTTCTCTTGTTCCGAGTTGTTTTTAGCACTGTGCGTAGCATTGGATAATTGTGAAATTCCTTCCTTCCTTTTGAGTTGAATCTTGTTGTCATGATACTGCAGGAAGAGGTTGGTTCTCACTGCATTAGTGCTTTGGCTGCTATTGGTGACATGATAGTTACTCAGTGCTTCAGTATGTTTGTGATTCTCGCCTGGGTAACAGGTGACCAGTTGATAATTTTGATAATCCACATCCATCTCCATCTGCTTTCGCAGATACCCAGCACTTCTATGCGAAATCTTCGTATTTCGTTGGTTGCCTGGGTAGCCTTCTCAGCTTCGGATATTGTAGGAATATTCCACGCCTTCATTCGTATTTTCGCTTTTATGGAAGGGAGACATCGACTGTCTGACTGTCTTCGTGAAGGCTTTGACCAGCCCACTGTGTCATGTCGCCTCTCCGATTCCAGCGAATAATATGTTTTTATATTTTTCATATTTTTCTCAGCATTGAAGTTTTTGTCTGAGTTTGGTTGATTTTTTAAGATAGGGTCGCTACTCCGACGCGCAATGCTGCCTCTTTTCAGCAGCTTGAGACAGGCTTGAAAACTAGGGGAGGTTGATCATCGTGTTGACAATAACCCTTTTAGTTTGAAAATTTGGATTTTTAAAGAAAACTAATTTAAGCATACAGGTGTCTTTTCGTTTCGAAAAAGTAGTGCATGTTGTTAAATTTCTTTCCATTTCACTCAAATACAAAAAATCACTAAAGGATTTTCGTTTGCCGAGGCATGAGTTCAAACGCGATTATTAATAAATCCCTGCATTCATATTGATCCATAGCCTCACACTTGGTTTTTGTATCTTTGGTATTTACTTACTTTACTTTACTTCGGCTATCTCCTACGGGAGGATGAGCCGGCTTCATGAACGTCTCGAATCATCGCTGCCCAGGCGCGGCAATTTGTAAGAGAGTTCATGAAGTTTCATGGGAATTTGGTACGAGTGATGTCCCCAGAATCACTCGGCCTTTTGTTTGAGAGTGCAGCTCTAGCCTTTACACAACCAAGTGTGACCTACAAGGCAGTAGGTATTTCTATTGAATATGGTTCTCTCCTTTACTGTCTCACAAGTCAGTTAATTATCCAGTTGCTAATTATTTTGTCTGGTGCATGACTTAATAATAAACACTGAAGTTTAATTGACACTTCAAACATTTTATATCTTATGGGGGTGTTTAGTGTATTTCCAGTGAACTGAAGGTTTAATAACTTCTCATTGTACTATTTCCAGAATCTTTAATCTAATTAACAGTGATTCTTTAATCTACAGTTCGACTGTCGTTTATATGAACCACGTACAAGTCAAGCAATGGGTAAAGGTGAAAATGCGTATATTCCCTTGAGCTTACCATCTCGAGAAAGTGTACTGAAACCAAATTCAATTAGAGTCCTTTTGGGCAATTTAAATCTACTTGAATTGAATAAATTGCTCTATAGATGTTCAGCTGAAGAATTAGCTGATGGATGCGGTTTCAATACTTATCAGATTCCTGGATGGGGCACATTAGTTTACTGTGGATTTCAGGTTAGTTTTATCAGTCTTTTGTCTGTTCTATTGAATTCAACACATGTTGCACACATTTTCATTTTATTCTGGAACATTGTGTACAGTTCACTAGTTATAATAGAATCCAACCTGTCGTTCAGTGTTATGGAATCGAGGTATGCTGTGTGTGTTTAAGTGTATCTACACAGATAATGTTGGTATGTAGTCCTTATACTGATATTCTTCAGCGTACCATACTTTTTTCGAAAATAAGCACCACGTTTCTTACTAGAATAGTTGCTGATCTTCTCTCACCTTTTATTTCCATTGATGTATCGTTAAGTCATCTAAGTGTTATTGTATGAAATGATATTGCTGTAGTCAGCGGTATATGCAACTTTGAGCACCTCAGTCGTGTAAAATACACTTTGCCACACGTCTTAGATCTACATCCAGGAACTTCGTGAGTTTTTATCTTGTTTTGGTGTGCCACTGTCAGGTGTTTTAGGAATTAATCATTTCTCAGATAAGGTTATCAAATGACATAAAAGTCACGGTTGTACACATGATACATATTTCAGCTAGCTTAGTGTTTACCCGTTCGAAACTTTAGCAGTTGGTTTTCCTTCCGCGTATAGGACATTTTGATTTTAACACATGAGGGAAATCCTACTAGTATACCTTTTTTTTTACAAAACCTACGGTTTCATTTGTCGTCCATGTCTCTCAGCTGTAATTATATAGGGGATAGTTGATAAATAAGGTTGTTTAATCATCGATATGTTTACACAACATTCGGAGCCGTAATTAGAGCGTTTGAATATTTTATCTTAACTATGGATTGGCAGAATACCTCTGTGTGTAGGAGTTACCGAATATCTTACTGACTATGATGGTAAAAATAATACGGTAAACCCTGATACTACCAATCATGACAATAGCAACATAGTGCTAATATCTTATTAATTTCCTTCTGAATCATTACCAAAAGCTCTGATTCATAACTTAGCTTACCTGGAAAAACTTGATATATCTTCCTTGGAGTCATTAAATCTACTTTTGATACTTTATATGTGGAAACATTGAATATCTCCAAGTTATATAGTATTTCTCATACTTGTTAAGTGTGCTGTAACGATATTTATGAATCGGTGACAGTTTAATGTCATCATGGTGTATTAATAACATTTCTGAATAAATGCCACTACTGACTAGATTTGTGTGTTGTAAATCTGAAGTATCTTTTGCTCGTTTGACATCACACCAGTGGAGTTTACATTTAAAATTTATTGATTTCTAGTGATCATAAGTGCCTGCGTTCTATTTCCCGTGTAAAGTGGCATAATAAGGTGAGCAACATGGAGGTTAGGCGTAGAGTTCTAGGTAAACAGGGGAAATCAATCGACGAAGTCGTGAAGCTACAAAGACTGAGATGGTTAGGACATGTGTTACGTATGCCAAGCCATCGCCTCCCTCGACGAGCAATGTTAGCGGATATAGGGTCAGGCTGGAAAAAAGCTAGCGGCGGTTAAACAAAAACTTGGCATCAGTCAATGAAATCCACAACAGTTGGTCTAAGCCACGTAGAAAGGTGTAGACTTCCAGGCTGGGGTCCTCGGGACGGTAAAAATCTATGGTTGGAAACAATTGGTGACATGGCTCAAAATCGTTCTGAGTGGCGCAGATGCATCCACTCCCTGTGACTTATGATCTTCAATGAAACTGTTTTGTATTTCTTTATTACTCCTTTGTCTCACACCTCTGCTCACTGTTTCTATTATGCTTTTCTTGTACTTTCTTCTCTTGCTTCGCGTGCTACACGGAATGTGGCGACTTGAACTGGCGCACATTTGTGCAAAGTTCTATGTCGAAAACAAACAGACAGACAGATTTCTAGTGATTACTGATGATAAAACTTTACCTCTTGTTTCAACTTCCAACTTCTGTTCGACAAAAATTTATTTTTTACAACTGCTGACTGTTAGGCAAACAACGCTAATGTCAAGTTAGTTTTTCTATGTGCTTCAGAGACATGGCGTGTCAATCAAAGGCGGGTTTTAAACTTATACCAGCAGCTGCTTTCGCTTCATACTGTAGATCGGATTGTCGGAAACCACTAACGACAAGGGACTCTGGAAACGAGTCAACGAGGGAACCATAGCCTGACAAGTATGCCGAAGAAAATACATCGCACCCACTCTGAGGAGACGGCTGAGTTACAACATCGCACTCCAGGCAGACGCTTGAGTGGAGCACGAATGGTTAGGAACCCTGAATTAGGCGTTCGAGGACGACATGTAGGGGATTGGATGAGAAGGAGATAAAAACTTATGAACAGTCTTGTAGCCAATTAAAGACGACTGCTTAAAGAAGGGTGAAATACCGATGTGCTGTTGAAGCCCCCCCCTATGTTCCACTGAGAACTTCAGAGAATTTTAACCATGATAACTGGACAAACAACAGGGTTTGTTTCTTCAGGAGGAGTTTTTGTTACTTGGTAAACAATTTATTGCATACTTCAATAAAATGATTTGGCTATTACAAAATATACTATACTGTCTATATAATAAATTATAATTGACGAAGACGCGTTGCAATCGCTTTGTAGTGATACAAAAGTACTTCACAATCCATTCTCAAAATATGATGACTGTGTAGTTAATTAATTATTTGCTTTTTTTATCTCAATACAAGTAGGCGAAAACCTTTAAAAAAATATGCATTATTGTAATATTTATAGCAGGGTGTTTTGTTTTTTGAATTTCTCAATTGACCTGAAATCCATTTCAGTTCACAACACTGTCCTCTATATATTCACTTCACATGTGAGCTAAAATGTTTACAAATTCTTTTTATTATTCGCACAATGAATTACTAGTTAGTTCAACTTTACTGTCATCAATCAGTAATACTCGAGTCAAATAATTATGTATATATATGCTTTAAATGATATAAACACTTGCAGTTCTATTCATGCTGTGAATTAGTTTTGACCATTATAATAAGTTTTATGGTATTATCCAAAGTGGTGTAACAGATGTATGGGAAATGGCCTAAGCTACTCCTGTGACACGTAAACGTAGTATACCAAGCTGGCTGTATATATATAACACCTAATGGAAATATAGCGAATCTGATAGAGGTGTGGATCGACTCTGGCATTAACATTCAACTTCCAGTTATCGTATCTTGGTTTCAAATCCTGCCTGACCTACTTCAGTGTGAACGACCTAGTAATATATATCATATCTGTCGTTGCACATTGCCAGTATGCGTCATTTAGGCGTGTTCGATAGATAAAGAACATTTGTCATAATGTTCTATGTTTCACAGCAAATCTTTAGTAACGCAGTTCCACTAAAATCTAGTCATTTTGTGGACGTTTACCAAAGTGATTTGATTATTCGTTTTATTTATCATTTATCAGTTTTTAAGCAGTGATTTATGATCATGTACCAACCTTGGTCTGAAAAATTGACCAACTGTAAACCATCCTTAGTATTGACTGATTTTCTCCCTAACTGACATTTTCTTTAGCACTTATTAACTGTATGACTTAGGCGTGGGCATTTTCTCTCTCAATCATACCATAAAATCATCAAGACAGGAAAATGTGTTGTCTTTTCTATCCACTTTTACTTTTTGTCGAATTCAATGATCTAAATGTCCTGAATAGTATTTCAGCCTTTGCATACAAACTGTGGTATAACACAAGACTATGACATGCATTCTTATTGGTTTCTCCTGTAGGATCGAAAACTTAAGCATTTTTCTAGTTGTTGTTCTGTTCTGTTCTTGCTACACTTTCACGTGGATTGTGTTTTGCGTATAATAATTTTCACATTTAACTATTGTGAAATTGCATGTGCTGTTTAAGCTCACAGCAATTAAGAAAAAATATACTGATCTACAGTCTATAAGGCCTAATATTCCCGTATAATGTATATATGTGAATATAAGTGGCATTACCAACGTGCTGTGCATGGGTTCGAGGCATGCTGTATTCACATGTCACCTACTGATGCTTCTTTGTCCATCACAGTCCATATATATGTATATTCTAGTGGTTCGCATCAGTCACATATTAAAGACTATAGATATTGTTTAGGGAAAAAATCTTGTTAATAAGGAACGAAAAGAGGCTTTTTTGCCTTCTCAAATCTGTCAAAGAGACCGTTCCATACGGTAGATTACAGAAGAAACATAATCACTATCGCCAGATATATGCTGAGTGAAGCAACGTTAAAAAAAAGTTTATTTAGTTTTCCATTCCACGAAATCTGTTCTTAGTTTCTCGTGTTTTTGTTTTGCCGCTTAACGCAAAATTACTAGTAGTAGGAGAAACTAGAGGTAATAAAATTTGCACTTGTTGCAATTTAATGCACTCGCAGGCGCGTTTCTCGGTAAGTGAGTGGGGGAAAAATTGTTTGATTTAATGTTTTATTACACTTTTTTAAAAGTGTCATCAGATTCAGGTTTCTTTATCATGGTGGTATTCTGTGTAAGCAAGTAGACGGTAGTAGGATACAATAAAAACCTGTTATGGAATGATATCTTATCTAGTATTCAATCGCATAGTAGTATAACAGACTAGTATTCAATGCATATTGAAATCTTTATCATCACTTTTCGTTTCTCCTTGAATCATAAATTGGCGTAACATCAGGGCATAAGAGAATTCGGCAACGGAATTATTTGTTGCAACCCCGATACACAAATATAGGCAAAGTTCTCTTACTATATCATAGAATCACAATTTGCACATGTCTTCCGAATTCTGCTACTTTTGTCTTCCTTTCATGTTTTCTATATTTTGTTTCACAAACCACCGTTCGTTGAATCCATCTCTTCGCTATTCGATATTCTTGCAGATGATGTACATACTTATATCTGCATCTATATAGTACTTATAAATCTTGTCAGTAGCATACACCACGCTAAGTTCATGCGCTGATATTTCTTCGCTGATCTAACTGATATTTAAGAATCACATTTCTGGGTAAATAACTGTCAAATGAATTACGAATATATACAGCTACTTTTTAAGGGGAAATAAGTTAGAATGCTCATAGTCATAGAAAAATCCAACTGAAATATAAATTATTTTGACTGGGTTAACTGGGGAACATGTACGTATCCTCTAACTTAAATATGCTAAAGATTAACAGTGAGACTTACAACAAGCTGATTGATTGGCCTTATATATATATATATATATATATATATATATATATATATATATATATATATATCATTCATCTACAAGATGTAGACTTACAGTAAAGGTTAAGAAAGAAAAACTAACTGATTGTTAGCACCATATTATAGTCCTGCTGTGGAGGATTACAGAATGCAATGCTTAAAGCAACAATAATGCCATAATGAAGGTAACTGTCATCATCGTGACAAAAAATAAACCAAAAATCAGGAATTGTCAGAATAAGGCCAAAAATAAATGAAAACAAATGTCAAAATATGATGAAATATTATTCAGTGGAATTTTCCTCGATAAATTCAACAAGTTTCAAGCAGCTAAATCTCATGCATATTTAAGATTTTTTTCCTTCACGTTCCCAGTGGAACATAGGGCTCCAAGCTATTGGCTTGAAGTTTCTATAGCAGTGTTTATTTTACAGGATGGGGTTGCTAGCCTCATTCTCAACCTTTCCTCTTTACCAGCATTATTTCTGACTTAGCGAGGTAAGGGAGTGCGTCAGTGGCCGGATATCGAACTCCGAACCATGTGCATGGTCGGCGAGCGTCCTAATCGCTATGCCACCGACGCATATTTAAGATTTGCTTTTGATTTATACAAATGTCGATTAGAACTTAGACTGCACTTGTAGACGAATATTATAACGGATATAGGCAGAGTGTTGAACTTCTGTATTCTGTACGTTTCTGGTGTGGTATCAAAGCACAGTAAAGTATTCCTTGTCATTTGTACCATTTTACTGCCCTATGCGAAACATACTGGAAGTTGAATAATTTTAAAATAAAAGTTTCTGATTTAACTTACGAATAATATTGTATTTATTTTCACTGCTATTTCTCTATGCTCTAAACACTTAACATTTTTAGAGTATCTCTAATCTACTGCAAGGAATTAATGATCGAAATGATTTAGGCCATCCAATCTGTTCACATCTTCGTCATGGTGATTGGTTAGCTCACTATCTCACTGATCGCTTGGCAAAATTACCGCTTAATTCAGATAAACTTATAACTGAGGCAATTATTCAAATGAGTGAAATACTACGTATCATGTATAAACCATTGTCAAATATTCCACGATATTTGGTTCCTGCATACTTTGAAGTCTTAACTAATACGCTAACTGAATTTATCAACCTTGAAGTGAGTTCACTTTTTTCTTTTCTTTCTAAAATGGCTTAATTGCTTTTACTCTATATTCAAATTAAACTGTTATCGAGCCTATTCTGTTTTCTGATTGTGCCTGTCGTTTACACGTGCCATTTTATGCGTTAAGGTTACCTTTCGCACTCGTTATCTCTAGGCCTAAAATTCTTATATAGCTTACTATCATTGATACCTATTCAATGTTGAAATAGTTGGCTACTTTCAAGAATTAACTTGAAATTTTTTAAATAGTTAGTGTGTGGGGATTTGATTTCTTTGAAGTTTGATCACGGGTTATTGTCAGTTAGAAAACCGTTCAGAGGGAGAAAGTACTGTATCAGTGGCATCCATCAGGTCGGTTATGAGCACAAATTCTTACCAATCACATTGGCTGGCAGTCGAGCTAAAGTTGCAAACTGACAAAGGTTTCAATTCATAGACCATTGGCTTCCTATCCAAGTGGCTGAGTGGTCAACGTACTTGTCCTGGTAACCTGAAGCTCCTAGGCCCAACCTCTGTTAGGATCGTGTGTATACAATGCTGATGAGTCCCAATCTAGTACAAAACAGCCGTTCAATACGCTCTGGTTCTCAGTGGTTCTCTAACTTACATCAATTCATGGTCAAACTTGAAATTGAGGCGAAAATTTATTAAAAGATAGGGAGACTGTCCGTGAATAATTTTTCTTTTTCAACTAACGAACTTATTTATAAAGACTCATTGGTATCCTTTGGTGGCTGTTCATGCTATCAGGTTGACTACATATTGTAAAACCTTTCAAGTTCATTTGACTTCACTTCATCTTTTATTTCTAACTTTATCACAGAGGACGAATAATACACTTTCATATTGAATTCTAAGGACACAGCTTGAGATAAACACTCAGGCTTCCACTATGCTTAAACTTTCAAACTAAGCGCAAATATATAGTGATAATACGATTGGAGGCTATACTTAAACATTAGTTATGTACATAAACTTGAGTGCTTTTACAGCAAATGATTTTCGGTATTATTCTGGAAGTTTGCATTATTACTAACATATCATAATATTCATTTGATTTGATTGTAAAAGACTTACATTCATTCTGCATCAAGTAAAATCCTGAAAACTCTTTGAAGAATACTGGTTAGCTTCAAATTTCTAGTAAATAAAGTTTGAAATCTTATGCCAGTGAGATTAATATTAATCTGTGTAATTTTAGATTTGTTTAATTAACAACTTCCCATCACTGTAGTTTAGATACTATTCTTCTCTCTCTCTGTATCTTTCAACAAGCATAACAATGTTGTTGTCCACCATTATTGATCTGGTGATAAACAAATTAGAGATCATAGCGACAACTGTCTGTCTGTCTGGATTCAACATAGAACTTGGCACCGAAGTGCAGCAGTTCGAGTTGCCACCTTCCAAATAGCACACAAAGGTAGACAAGAAGATGAGTGAAGAGAATCAATAGAGTATAAGAGCGAAACAGAACGGGTAATGGTAGAAAGAAATATGAAAGATTACAGAGACTGAATACATCTGCGCTGGCCATTGACAACGATTTTGAGCCATGTCACCTATTGTCTCCAGCCATTGATTCCTAGAGTCCCGAGGGCCCCAACCCGTAAGTCTACATCTCCCTACCTGACTAAGTTTAACTATCAAGGATTTCATGGATTGATGCCATGTTTTCGTTTGGTTACCACTTACTCTTTTCCAACCTGCACCTAAATCAGCTAGTAATGCCCGTCGCGGGAGGCGATGGTTAGGCATGCGCAGCACGTGACCTAGCCATCTCAATCTATGTAACCTAATAGCTTCGTCGATTGATTTTCCCTCTTTGCCCAACACTCTGCGCCTAACGTCAACATTACTTACCTTATCAAACCACCTAAAGTGAGAAAGAGATCGCAGACATCTATGATCGAAAGCAGTCAACCTTTTCATGTCTTCAACTCGTATTGGCCATGTTTTAGAGCCATGGAGAAGGACGGAGCGAACTGCTGAGCAGTACACACGTCCCTTGGTTGATAGCCGGATGTCACGCCTACGCCAGAGATGGTGTAAGTCAGCGAAAGCACCTCGAGCTTTTTGGATCCATGCTGAGATTTCGTCGCCAATCAGTCCGTTGGTGCTGATACAACTTCCCAAATAGGTGAAGTGGTCAACATGTTCTATCACTTCACTCCCTATCACTAAGCTAGGAGTTGACGTAGTCCAGTCCTGTAGCAGCATCTGACATTTTACAGGGGCGAATCGCATGCCAAACATACGAAGATTGCTGCTCAAGGTGTTCAGAAGACTCTGCATTTTGTCAGCATCTTCCCCTAACAGGACTATGTCATCTGCATATTCTAAGTCCATAAGACTATACCCTGGTAACAATTCATATAAGATTTACATGATGAATAATAGGAACGGAAATAATCGCATAATGTCGCTAATGTAATGTAATAGTCTATTTCTCGACTATTTTACTCTCTAGTTGTGAATAAAGCGATGAAGAGTGGTATATGATACGATAACTGCAACACACTTTTGACGTCAATAATCACACTGAATGCGTTTAACAGACTCACTTCAACTTTGTTAGTACCTTTAAAAAAAAGAAGTCTAGTTGAACAATCAGACAGTGAAGAAGTACCTGCACATTTGAACCATCGAGATATTTACGTGCTCATCAGTTTCTCTCACAGTAAAAGCACACAAATTTCTTTATTTATGTGGTACATGAGAACATACTTTTAATTGTTGAGTTGCATTATTCATACTGTTCATTACCAATAATTTTTCATTTGTCAGATTACTTTACGAATGGCACCTTGGATAAGAACTAGTTCTTCGTTAGCTAAAAGGTTAGCAGTAGCAAGTATTCAGTTTTATGGTTATATTGGAAACAGTCGAATCCCAGGGAGAATTTCTAATAATCAGTCAAAAGAATCACAACCTGGAGCAATGTATTGCAGTCTGGCTGCTGGTCTACCGCATTTTGCCGAAGGAATGTGGCGTTCTTGGGGCAGAGATACATTTATCTCTTTACGAGGATGTCTTCTCTTAACAGGACGTTTTGAAGTGAGTACTGAGACATAGAATTGTTTGTAGACTTTATTTTCCCTGACAGTATTCGTAGTTGATTGTTCTCCTTTATATAGGTGTACAAAACGAAGTGATTCATTATATACGCTGGTACTGATACAACTTTTATGTGTTTAAAAAAAATAAATTTTCAACCGTTTTTTTGCTCCAGTATATAAGAGTGCATGTTTACTACCTTGAAGAAATACTTACTTAGCAATAATACTTCTGCTTCTCTTATGCACTTGTCTGTGTCATATGATGGCCTGGAGTTGTACATTGAAGCATGTTCAATTAGATAAGCAGGGTTAGTTTCTACCACCTTTTTTACCAGCAAATGAATTGCCTATACTTAATGGAATACTTTATAGTATTGGATGATTACTGGAAGTGTGAATTTTCATAATCTCCATGGTTTTTATTGACTAAACTGAAACAGAGATATGAGTGGGGTACTGAGTTGTTAGCTCTCGGCTAGTACAAAGCAAAGCCAGTAGTCAGAAAAGTACTGATTGAATGCTATCTTAAATCCAGATTTTTCTACTACGCTTCAGTTGCTTTCAGAATACGCATGGTAAGTGTGGATAGATTTGAATATTTCTTACTACAGATGCTTTCGTTCACTCTGTAGCATCGGGGGTGGGTGGGTAATGCTGAACTCAAATATAGAGTTTCAGTTAAGAAGGACAAGCCAATCATTGGAGTAGTTGGCGTATGCGTTACGCATGCCCGGTTACCATTTTCTTATCGTGTAATATTAACTGGATTAGGACCATTAGTGGTGAAGAGTTAAACGTATTGAGAACAAAAGATTGGTATCAACACGTAAAGTCATTACCTTTTAGTATGACTCACTCAACTGGGAGTATTCTGTTTGATTGAAGTCCTGGGGATCACTAGGATCGGTGGTGATAGACTCCGATGCTGCTGAAAATCACTAACAGTATTGCAAATATATAATCTTTTTGTCATCCTACAGATTTGGAATATCTCTATTCTACATTCTCTCTCTCTTTCTCTCTTGCATGCATGTTGTTGTATCACGACGTTTTTGAGTGATTCTTCATGGTTTTATAACCTGGACTGATGTATTTTCCTTCTCTGAAGTGATACGTGTATTCGTCTCGAAAGTTGTAAACTTCCACGTTAATGAAATGGCGTAGACAAATGTTTGACACGTTAACAGTTTCGCTGTATAGAAATAGTATATCAAGTACACCAAGTTTTCGGATCGGAAAGTCTACAAACACATTCTGAACTTCGAAAAAAATAAAAAGACATCTTCTACCCTTGGTCTGTTGTCTGATGAAGTGGATTTCATCTTGGATAATTACGTCCTTCGCTTTGACTATCTTATACTGTTAGAGAATTCGCATGAAGCTTGTTCTGTTTGCTTCTATTTGAATGATATACTCCTCTACACTTTTTCTTTGTTTAACCTGCATTATCAATCAAGTCGTATAATAATAATAATACCCAGGAGAGCATTTAGAAATATGTGGATATCATCCGCTTATTTTCTTTTTCAGAATGAGAGATATTTCTAATCACTGTGTTCACTGTTGCTCGCTTGACTCAGAACAACAAGCTTTCAAATATTGGGAATTCAGATTTGTTTTGATTGTTTGATTTGATTAAACTAAAACAACCGAATCAGCTAACTGTAACCACTGGAATTCTGGCTAGCCATTTGAACAAAGTGTTTCAACCGCATGTGATACGGTTGACGATGTCAAGCAAGATAGCCTTTCATTACTCTGAAATCAATATGGAAACCTACTGCGCCCAACATAAGGAACAAGATCCGGATTTTCAACACTGATGTCAAGTCAATGATTCTATGTGGCTCAGAAACTTGGCACAAGGAGTAAAGCATTTCCAGCAGGCTGCAAATGTTCATCAACAGCTGTCTTCTGTCGATGCTGAAGATAAGATGGCCATGAGTAAAGCATAAACAAACCTAGGGACACCAGTAACTAGTGTGAACTGTTTAGTCCTTTGTTTGATTTCTATCAGTTAGGTTTGCAGTGTGGCCACCATTCTATGTAGGTCGCTGTCGCGGTGCACTGTGAATTGTTGGTGTTATATGGTTGAAGTCTGTCTGTCTGTTTTCGACATAGAACTTTGCACCGATGTGCAGCAGTTCAAGTCACCACACCATGTAGCACACAAAGCAAAGGAAGAAAGTAGAAGAACTGCATAATATAGACGGTAAGCAGAGGTTTGAGACAAAGGAATAGTAATAAGGAGGAACAATATAGTTTCATTGGAAATCATAAGTCACAAGGGGTGGATTCATCTGCGCCAGCTAGTGAGAACGATTTTGAACCATATCACCGATTGTCTCCAGCCATAGGTGTTCACCGTCCCGAGGACCCCAACCAGGAAGTCTACGCCTTCCTGTGTGGCTGGCTTAAACTAACTGTTGTGGATTTCATTGACTGGTGAGGACCTGTTTTGGTTTGAACACCCGGCTCTTTTCCAGCCAGACCCTATTTCAGCTAACACTGCCCATTGTTGAGGAAAACGATGGCTAGTGATGCATACGTAAGACATGTCCTAACCGTGTCAGTCGATGTAACTTCACAGCCTCGTCGATTGATTTCCCTTCCGCCTTACTTAGCACTCTATCGAAGCCGGAACTCAATATTACTTACCTTATTACACGACTTCACATGGGAGGTAGAAATCAGTCACCTACGATGAAAGACAGCTAATCTTTTCATGTCTTCAACTGTCAATGGCTAGGTCTCACACCTATGAAGGAGGATGGAGCGGACTGATGGGCAGTACACACGCCCATTGGTCGATAGCCGGATATGGCGTCTACGCCAGAGACAGCGTGAACTGGCATGTGCGAAACTAGCCCTCTGTATCCGTAGTCAGCTGAGATTTCGTCAGCGATCAACCTGTTGGCGCTGGTTGATGCAACTTCCCAAATAAGTGAAGCGGTCAACGTGCTCTACCACTTCACTTCCTATTTGTAATCTAGGAGTCAGTGTAGTCGAGTCCTGTATCATCATCTTGCATTTGGCGGGAGCGAATCGCAGACTACAACTCAAGGCTTTCAGAAGACTGTGCATTTTGTTAGCGTCTTCAGCTAGCGGGGGGGGGACTATATCCTCTGCATATTCTGAGTCAAGGAGATTATAGCCTTGCAAGAAGTCAATCGCTCAGTCTCTGAAGTGAGTTAAGGTTAAGTCCATTAGTACATCTATGATAAAATTGAATAGAAATGGGGATAATGGGTATCCTTGACGGACACCATTAGTCGTCACCACTTTGGATGACAACTCGCCGTGAGCTCTCACCTGGCTAACTAAATGAGTTCGAATAGAGTTCCTGATCGGTGCAATGTATTTTCTCGGTATTCATTTTACAGTCAAGCATTGCCGGAGAACTTCTCCGTCGACAGAGTCGAATGCTCTCTTTAGGTCAAGAAATATTAGGTTAGTCAGACGCCGGTTGAATACCTCTGTTGAAGGGTGGAGATATGATCAATACACCCTCTTCCTGGTCTAAAGCCTGCCTGGCTCTCTCGTGTTTGTGCCTCCCGAGCACCACTTAGTCTACGCATGATTATTGAGCCTAAGACTTTAGATACTATATTAGTCAAGCTAATCCCTCTGTGATTATCACAGGAAGACTTGTCTCCCTTCTTGTATATGGGGATAATCAGTGACTTACACCAACCTGACGGGACTTCCTCTGATTCCCAGACGCTGCCTACAACCTCAGTTAATGCAGACAGTAAACTGTCTCCACCGTACTTAAATACCTCTGAAGTCATTCCATCAGGTCCCGCTGCTTTGCCTTGTTTCAGATTGGTGACAGCTTTAGTAACCTCATTTAGGGAAGGAGGACCTGTGTCTGTATCCCATTCAGGGAGGTGTTGGATGTTCGGCAGGTTGAGCGTGGCTGTGGGCCAATTAAACTGCTCCTCATAATGCTCTTTCCAGCGTTCCAGTCGTCTATCCTGGGAGCTAATTATGGTGCCATTTTATTCCGAGATTGTTCCACTTATGATTAACCTTTTCCCACCCGTTTCCCTGATGAGTCTAAAGAGTTGCCTATCGCCGAAGCTTTTTCCATCTCTTTCGCCTTTGTCACCCACCACTGTTCACGGTCCTTGCGGAGACTTTTCGTAAGTTTCCTCTTGTGCAGCTTTCGCTCCTCATTGAATTCGGAGCTCGCCGGAATAAGTCTTCTAGCATCTATCAGTTCGGATGAGGCGGTGGAGATCCAGTGGTTTTTACTCACCTTTGGGTTTACCTTATTCACAGCTTTTACAGCTGTATCTATGGCTGCCTGGATATTCTTCCAAGCTTCTTCAGCTGTCGAACACAGATATGTGTTTAGCTAGTTCTTCCTCAAATACGGATTTAGTTTCCTGATCGAGCTGGGGACGTGATGGTTTTACCGCCAGCTGTTTCCTACGTCCGTTCAGTCGTAAGCACACCCGAGCGCGGACCAGTGTGTGGTCGGTATCTACACATGTGTTCCAGAAGGAGCGACAATCTCCTACCGACCCACGCCAACGATAGCTTATTGCTATGTGGTCTATTTGTGTCCAGCGTTGGTTTGATGAAGGGGGTCTCCAAGTCAAACAGTGTCTCTCCTTGTGTTTGAAGTTAGTGCTTACAAGAAACAAATGATTATCAGAACAGAACTGTAGGAGACGGTCACCGTTGTCGGTTCGCTGGCACGGAACTCCATAGGTGCCACCGACATCCTTCTCAGATTGACACAATTTCCCTACTTGAGCATTAAAGTCACCAGCTAGAACGACTATGTCTGAGCGTTTAGCCTTTCGCACCAAACTAGACAGCTTTTGGTAGAACTCATCCTTCGTTTCATCTGAACTGCAGTCAGTGGGGGCGTAGGCGGAGATTACGAAAAGGCATCGGCGAGTAGTGCAGTTCTTTCTCCTTTTTACTGATCCGTTCAGACGGACAGCACACATTCGGCTATCTACCGGGATCCAGTCAAGCAATGTCTTTTCTGCCCTAGTACTCAAAGCTATCCCTACGCCAGCTAATCCTCGTGAACTAGCTGTGGCATCTCCTGACACCCTCAAGGTGAATTTTGCAGATTCAACCTGTTGGCCAGGTGGGGTTAGGTGAATAACCACACTTGGGTCTTGTATGCGTGTTTCTGAAACACAACATACATCAATGGCTCGGGATGCCAGGGTCTTGGCTAGTGATGCTTGTTGTCCTATTTGGCAAAGTGTCCTAACATTAAGAGCTCCTATATGAAATTGGTGGCGCGGCTTTAAGAGGCTGTCGGTGGTGGTTTTTTGGCTTCCATCGTTTTTAGTGGACACAGAGTGAAGAGGAAGTGAGGAGCTATCAAGTCGAGGAGTTGCATCAGTGGAAGGAAGGCAAGACAATAGAGATGAAGACAAAGATGAGTGAGTATTAGAGAGGTTTCGTGTGCATTTCGGATTGTGAGGGTGTTTGTTACTTCCCGGCTGCCCACACCGTGGAAGAGATGGTTGAAGGCAATAGGCAAAAAGCCTTGGAGGTCAACCGCGAGTCTGAATAGCTCAGTGGTAACGTCTCTGACTGCAGCACTGGGTGACGCGGGTTCGATTCTCAGAATGGAAATGAGTTCCTTTAAGGTTGCAGATATGCCTTGCTGACGACTACCAACTAGTACGAAACCTAGTTCCAAGGCTTCCTGACGACTGACTGCCTTCAAGCATCTAACATCAACCAACAACGTATTGCTCAACGAGTATGCCGTAGTAGAGGATGAAGGTGGATCGGATACATACTTAGGAGAAGGATGAGTGACGAATTGCGCCAGGTCTTTAAAGTGGGACCCGACGGGGCGTCTGAGGGTGTGATATAGAAGAGATTTTGTTAGATGAAAGTTTATGAGCCGTCACAGAGAAAACTGAAATAGGCTTCAGAGAGAGAGAGAGAGAGTAAGGTGAAACAGAAATAGTGCTACTGAAGCCCTCTGTTCAACTCAGAATCTAAGGGGATGATGACAATAGTACTTTAGCAATTCACTTATTTTGCTAAGTCTGAAGTGAAATTCCATCTATTCAGGTTGTATTTTAAAAACATCAAAAAATATTCAAACGACATATGAATAAATGTTTGCATAATTTGAGATATGCACTCTCAACCTCTGATATCAGTCAAAATATTTTGGAATATATATATATATATATATAGTTTATATTTTAAACATTATGCATGTCATATGGATGAAACTTCCTGTTTAATAAAATAGTTCATGTGTGCAGAAAACGTGACCGGTGATATGTATGTACTTGGATGGTTATTGTTTTTCCTTTGACAGGAAAGCGTGATTTAAGAAAAAAAAATTTATTTTAACCAATTTGGTTTCTCTTACAATAAAATTAGTGTTAAACAAAATCAATAGGTTCCATTCATCGATGGATAGGGAATTGTTTTTCTCTTTCTCTCTCTCTCTCTCTCAAAAGAACTGATAGTAAAATCTTTAAAAAACAACATTCATTTGAAAGTTTTATTTTGGATTTAAACGAGTTCACTTATCGCCAGTGTTATCAATTTTTTGTCAACTAAAACTCTAAGCATCATATTACCTAAGTCTCATCGTATTTCCATCTCTCTCCGTGTAGAACACATCCACGACTAAAACATGAAAGCTCTTCGAGCATATCTGTAATTATAGTCTTCTGCAAAATGTGATCGCCAAAAATGTCACAATTATACTGTATTTTATCTTCAGAAGTGAATTCCCGCGAGGTCATATCTGTTGGTCAGTTTTGTTATGCTACACAATAATCAGTTTGTGGGCCTTTTATTTCGAACACTGACTTATTATAATGTCATCGTACCATTGTCTGTCTGGCATAATAACAATAATAATATAACTTGCCGTACTTACATCTTATCATATATTATATTTCTTCTTTAATCCGGAATGGATTATGATGTTACTTCCTTGTGTCTGTCCTGCAGAAATAACAAGCAAACCTTTATTAGTATTCAGGAATACACAGGTAGGATCAACTTACTTTCAAATATGTTTTAGAAACGTGTATTCACTAAAATCATATGATCTTAACAACTTCATTGGCTCGTTTCAAGGTCACACTGTTTTCTGTCCACCTGCAATGTATTGTGCAGCTTTATGTTACTTCTCTGCATTCCTATGTAAAATATGTTGAAATGTGATTGTTGGGGGCTAGTGGTAGCCAGCGTTTTTCACACGAAAGGTCAATAAACTGCAAACATGGATACAATAATTACCAGCGTGCTAAGAAAGATTGAAACAAGATTTTTTCTGAACGTTTCGCTGTGTAAGCCACAGCTTCTTCAGCAGATTTATTCGGATTTTTATTAATCATCAAAAAATTTATTTAATTTTCTCAACATGCTGGGATTAATTTAAATAATTTATAATGAATCAATCTGACTCGGTACTAAAATTATTCCAGGAAGTTCGTAACACCTACGGTCTGGAAACTTATTAATTACCAGCATTTAACTGCAACAACTGTTTGCTTGACGTATCTTCCGCCTTGGTTGACTGTTATAATTTTCTGTAATGTTCAGCAGTAAACGTATAAGTGTTCGATGCAGTCAGTAGATGCAGCAAAATCTGTACCATAAAGTATCTTGTTATTTAGTTCATTCTCCATTTCGTAAACTAATTTAACAGACCTCTATGAACTTTGAAGACTTGGAAGCTCCATTGGCTACTAAATTCTTTGACACTTCATAATCGAAGCTAATGAAAATAATAAGACTGGTCTTGAGCATCTACAGTGTAAAAGAAATGAATCTACATGAAAAAATAATCTTGTATGCATCTTTACTACTTCAATAGTTTGTTGTTCATTTGCTTAACGGCTTCCTTCACCTTTTATTGGCTTTAACCTGTAAGTTTATCCTATGTACATAGTTGAGATCTCAGTTCAGAGGTTTCGCGGAATTGCTGCATATCTCCTTCCTTATATGATTCTCTTTCAACAAACTGAGCTCCATTGTGCGGATCATTGTTTGATATCTTTAAAATGTGATCACTGCTTGGATCTATAAAGATCAATAGTATTACCAGCTGGGTCATGCATGTGTGCCCATTGACTTAAGCATACCACTTCTATCACAACACTTACCAAACTCTTATCTTTGCAAATTCTTCCCCGTAAGATAGAACCACTTTAGGTTAGTGACTGCATTATAAAGTTGAAGGTAAAACTTTGGTTTTACTGTCTCTCTAAGGCGTCAATACAGTTCCACTCGAATGTTTTTCGTCAACAGTTTTACGCTGAAGCAAAGCGCGCTACGATATATTAATTAATTAGCTTAGGTTCTATTTCGTATATACTCCGGCAAATTTGTTGTAGTGGCCTGTTTTGTTAGACTAGTTCTAGTTTTCGTCATGAACCAACGTCAGTTAGAAAGATCATTGAAAACCGGGGATCAGTGGACAGCTGTTTCGTTCTATTTTAGTACTCTTCATCAGTGCCCACCCACGACTCCGCCAAGGATCTAACCGGGGACCTTAAGGTTAGCAGACCAAGCTAATATTGAATATTCAGCCATCTGGACTGGAATTCAATGACTCTTGAATTCCAACTTCGTCAGTTCGTGAGATAGTACTGTGCTGAACAATGCTTTCAATAAGCGCCCACTTCAACGTAACATGATGGACCCCACTAGTTCCGGTTTGCTTGGTTATAAAATTACTTTGTGAAATGTTGACTTTGATTGTTGTATCCTGAAATAAATGAGGAGTTCAAGTTTCTCAACTCCAGCAGCATTGCTATCATTCACTATCATAACTACGTAAAAGAGAAAACTTAGGTCTAAATGTGATAATGTATTACTTCAAAAGATTTTATTATAATCATTCATAATCTAATTACCACGAAAATTCTTTTTTTTAAAAAATATTTTACTAACAGGATGCTGCCAACTTAATACTCAGCTATGCAAGCTTATTAAGGCATGGATTGATACCCAATCTGATTGGCGATGGTTATACTGTTAGACCAAGATATAACTGCAGGGATGCAGTTTGGTATTGGTTGTATTCTATTGTCGCTTATCAGCAAACAATTACAAGCAGTGAAAAATGTGGCTTGCAAGGAGACGTTGATAAGTCTGATAGTATTTTGAACTGTCCAGTTTACAGATGGTTCCCGAATGATGATGCAGATGGATGGCCTGATGAATACATGACAACTTCAACGTCCGGTCACTGTGTTCAACCGTTGCATGAAGTAATGCAAGAGGCTTTACAACGACATATTTTAGGCATTGATTTCATCGAAAGAAATGCTGGACCTAATTTGGATGAACAAATGAGACCAGAAGGATTTAAGGTTAGTTTTTATTTGTTTTGCAGTAGAGAACCACATTGTTAAGTTGGTTAGTAACTAACTCTTCCGTCAACGAATGAAGATAAATGAATAGAATGTTAAAGTGAGAGTGTTTTTTTTTCTTGTGGTAATACATAATCATAAATAGAAGGTACCGTTAGACAATAAAAGGCGGAAAATAAAGCAAGTAAACAAATGTGACCTTAAATTTAAAATGAATATAATGTATCGGTGTATTTGTATCACTGCGCCCGGTTCGAAGCCATACTGTCTAGTATCTTTGTCGGAATCTTCTCAATTAAACATACCGTGATTAAAGACGTTCTGTGTGATGACATAGACGCTTTCATCATATACTTAAATCCTGGTATATATACTTTTATTAGTTCGGAACTTACTTCATAGTCTATATTTCCTCTTTTTTTGTAGGTCGAGGCTAATATTGATTTAAACACAGGATTTCCTCGTGGTGGTAACGCTTTTAATTGCGGCACTTGGATGGACAAAATGGGTAGTTCTGCAAAAGCTGGTAATAAAGGCATACCAGCCACACCCCGTGATGGTTCTGCAGTAGAATTAGTAGGATTGGCGTATGCAGTTGTGTCGTGGTTGGAAAAGGCGCATAATCAAGAAAAAACCCATGCGAATTACTATCCACATTTAGGTGTTAAACTACAATCGAATAAAGAATTTTCGTGGAAAGAATGGTCCAATCTGTTGAAAAATTCGTTTGAATCTTATTTCTGGATTCCGGACAACACGAATGACCCTTCATTAGTTTATAATAAGGGGATTTATAGAGATTCTGTTGGCTCATCTGCAGGATATACAGATAATCAACTGCGTCCAAACTTTTTCATCACAATGGTTGTAGTAAGTTGGCTGTTAAGTGTATGTGTTTCATGCTTGCAACATGTTTTCAGAAAAACTGAGGTGAATATCTATTCACTTCTACATTTTACGGAAGTTAGATTATTTTAAAGCTTACACCAAACCAGGGAGCATTGCAAAATAAATATTCCCGAGCAGCTGTTACGTCCTAGTTCCGATTTTTCTGTGTACTATCTAGGGTAATTTTTTGAAGAAATAATCGTAGCATGCGACAGCATGTAGCTAAAATTTTCAATCATTTATAATTATCTAGATTTTTGGATTTAACAATGACAGTCATAATTGGCTAATAATACCTTATTTTTTAAGCTGAAATTTTTATTATTCAACACTCTTGTATGTAAATGATAGATGTTCAGTTGACGGTGCCATGAACTCGTTGCTGTGTACGTACTGCTAGTTGTTATCAGCTATGCTGAAATTTGGATATATTTTTCGCTTGGAAAAGATTATTGCATGCATTGCCAGTGACTTTTTATCATTCCGCTCCAAGCAATTGATCTTTTCTGACATCCTGTAGAAATCATATATATATATATATATATATATATATATATATATATATAACAATAAGCTCTCAAGAGTCTCGCATTCTCGTACTCTTAGGAAGCCACGCTACTGAGAGAGGTCTTCGTCACTAAAATTTAACAATAAATTGTTATACCACATGTGTCGATGGCACAGAGGTTAGGACGCTCGCCGACCATGCACATGGTATGGCGTTCGATCCCCGGCCGACGCACACCTAATATCAGTGGTCGGACTGCTAAATTCGGGCTACAGATATCACATGCTGAAAATTCCATGCTTGTACCAAATATCAAGCTACAATCAAAATTTTTAAAAAAAAAACTAAAATTAGTGGTGTGAGTTTATTTCTTTGAACACAGTTCCAGCCCCACTAAATGCTTAATAGCCGTCATTAAAATCACTATACCCCCCGGGTTATTCACTTTTATTCTCTTTTGATCTCTAAAGATTCTGTCTATACACCTAATTCTCCTATTAAGCTGAACTACATAGAAACAAAGACAGTTTAGAATACTAATAAGGAAACTTTTAACACACAACCGTTTATGTGTTAGATGTTGTGTACTTCTTGCAAATCAGATGAAGTAATCCACGGAGATGTTTAAAGGGTGTGTTTCCATATGCCAAGTACTTCATTCATTTTTCTATACTCAATAAAACAGTGGTCAACGAAATCTTGGGAACCGTGTTTCACATTAACTACTTATTAACTTCACTCAAAGTTTCAGTGATTACTATACTCAACCATAAAATTTACTTTTTTTATTTACAGCTTGATTCCACACAGTATTTTTGGTGCAAGTATGGAATTTTCAGCATGGATATCGGTAGCCCAAATTTCGCAGGCCGACCATAGATATCAGGTGTGCGTCGGCGTGGCCTCGAACCCCGGACCATGTACATGGTCGGCGAGAGTCCTAACCGTTGTGCCACCGACGCACACTTCACTTAACGTGAAAGATTCGCTATGCATAAAGTGTTGAAACTACTGTTTCTTTTTCTATCATGTTGAACGAAATCACCGTCTTGATGTCGTAGATTCCAGTTCAATATTACATTAGTAAATATGCACCTCAATGTGTTTGAATCAAAACCACTTTTGTGAACGGGAAATACATTCCTCGAAAATATTTCTCGCTTGAGGCTTGTAGGGTGTAGAATGTACTGGATTAGTTCTGAAGAAAAAAGACACCCAGGTATGATCGATTCTTCTTTCCTTCTCATTTAAAATCCATAGAAAGGCAACTGGGCAAAGTTGTAAATCCTCTATAATATTAAATAATTTTGTTGTAGTTACAAACTGTGTTACATAGTTTCATCTGTGTAGATTTATAGAGCTCACTTAGAAGCATTATGCTATATTACATTTTATTCACTAGTTTACTATTCCCTTTTGATGAAACAGGCTCCTGAATTATTTACACCTGAGCGTGCATGGAATGCTCTTGAAATTGCTCAGAAAAAGTTAGCTGGTCCATTGGGTATGTGCACTTTGGGTCGAGATGATTTAGCCTATCGAGGATATTATGACAACTCAAATGACAGCTCTGATTATGCTATAGCTCGAGGATTTAATTATCATCAGGTAATTTTTTTACTTTACTGTAGCTAGTTTTCAGTTGTAACAAGCATTATTCCCCTTATCTTAATCTTTCAAATGTGCTGTTACGATTATTCATTACACATTCGTTTTGTTACCTCACGGGACTCAGATAGCCTAGTGGCGCATCTACATACGTTACATAAGTAGTCCGTATATTTTCTGGGGTAAACGTAGTGATTAACTGTATCAAGTGAGAACAGATCGTAGGTTATAAATAATATAATCTATCAAATACTACATAATAACTGTGTGAGGTCAACCATAGGATAAACAGATAGATCAAGGTTATTTAGGTTAGTCTATCACTATTCAGAATTTTAGCTAGACCTAGATTGATAGACCCTGATAGGTTAAGTAATGTGGAAAAAAAACTTGGTGATTACCAACGCATGCAAATGCATGTAAATGCATTATAGTGTATAGGATAGGATAGAAATAGTGTATAGTTGGGGAGAGAGTTTCATCACTGAATCTGTGTTCGTCGATTTTACACCCAACAAATGCAACAGAAACAATGCAACACCAATAACTAGTATTGTATTACTGTATGTCGTATGAAAGAAGCTTATTTAATGTGGAATTCATCTCCGAGCCAAGTAGATCAGTAGTGAAGCTCAACAACACATAATAAAGATTTTTCCTTAGGTGATTCGATCAAATGCATAGTCAAGTTAGGTGGTAAAAAAAACTTCCCTCACTTACAATCGGACAAGAAGAAGAAGAAGAAGAAGGAAAATGATAGCTAATTATTTATGGGACTTACCGATACGTCTCGATGTAATAAGTGCTCACGGTGTGATCAGACCACGTCCACACTTAAATACAAAAGCTCAGGAAACCTGGAATGATTTCTAGTTTACTCACACAATAATAATCGTAAAGATGTAGACTGGAAGTGGGTAATATAGATAAAATTTGAATAAAGCCATTTATTTTAATGGTTCCAAATGACGCATGGTTAATTCATACATGTGTACAAGATGATAGCCAAGTTATGTATTTTTGATGTCATCTCCATTTTCAGATATGAAACTTACTTTTCAGAATACTAAGAGAAGTTTACTTTAATTGTAGGGCCCAGAATGGATATGGCCAACCGGATATTATCTCCGAGCTCGTATTCTGTTCTCTCGTATACTGAGTCAACTTGATCCTAACAAATGGAATCATCTCACTGTTAAGGTGGATAAAGAATGCCAAAAAATGCTCGCCAGACTTAACGATAGATTGCAGTCAAGTCAATGGTTTTCCCTTCCCGAGTTGACAAACGCAAATGGTGAGGTAAGCTACTAAGTAACTGACTCTCATTTATACTACTGTCAGCGTTTGTGGGTGAACTAATACTGCTGTCGCAAAGGGATTTTGTTGAAGTAAAATATTCCCCTCAGACAAAAAGTGTGTCAGCTATACTCTATTCCTTTACCTAGAAGCAATCACAAAAATTCAACTTTCGAAATTGTACTTCTCAGATTACCTTAAGGTAGTCTGTTTATTCCTTGTAATTTTGTTCAGATAATCATCTCTTTTTGACCAGTTGTGCTAACTTCAGTATTAGGAGATACACTGTCTCACTCCAACCCCAAACATTACTATGGGTTTTCAATAGAGAGGATCTGTGGAAGATCGGTGCTCTTTGGAACGTCTGCGCGGAGTCCTTCCACAGGTATGGCTGTAGTTGGATAGATACAAAAACAGCCACCTGTAAGACTCTTACGTATCCACTCAAATCGATAAATGGATTTGGTTGGTATTTTAGAAACTAATTAAACATTTATGTGAACGTGACAGCTGTACTCGTCCGGTATCATATCCAGTCTGTTGTTGGAATAATGTTGATGGCATTTATCATCCCATGAACGATGCTTTATGTGATTTTTGCAAAAGAAACTGGTTCTTATATAGAGCGCAAGCTCACAAAGTGGCTATCTCTAGTTTAAAACGAAGCAAGGCAGCGGGATCTGATGGTATGTCCTCATAGGTGTTGAAAGATGGCAGTGATGAATTATCGCTTAAATTAAGTAAGATGTCAGCTAGTGTGTAGGAGTGCGAGAATACGGCGGTGTAGATTGTTGCTCATACCAGATTATGCATAAAGAAACAAATCTTCTGAAGGGTAATCAGAGGGTAGTCAGTTTGAATAACTTAGTATTTAATATTCTAGGTTTCACAATCCTAAGAAAACTGAGTGAAGCTTTGTACAAACGAACTCGAGGAAAACAGACAGGTTTCAGGCTTAGATGAGTGTGTATAAATACAGTCTTCACTCTTCGACAGATCCTTAAACATAGGCCCACTCACTGATGCTGAGCACTTATAATATTTCTTGACGTGATTGCAACATTTGACTGCGTTGATCGAAAGATGCAATGTCACTCACTCACTGTTAATTCAACAGCTTTGCATATAAAGATCTCTGCCCTCTGAATTCACTTCACAAAGTTGATGCTGTTTACTGGTGATCCCTTACATGAGTTGGTATACATATGAAATCATCAAATTCGACAGAGACACTGACATGATACGGAGTCTACCAAACACTGGTTGACAATTTAAGTATGTCTGCGATGCGCTTTTCAGTTAACATATCATTCATCCCACTTACGCCAAATATATTTTGTAAAATTTATTCAAGTGTCAGAACCAATACAGAAAGTTTTTTTGGGTGGACTGCCATAGTTATGACACAAGAGGGGTGTTTGAATGCATATTTAGTAGGGTATTGCTACATAACAGTTAACTTTTCTCTAGTTTACGGCTATTAAATGCGGAGGCTCGACAAGATCATGAAACATAGATAGATATAGAAGGTGAGCATAAGACAGGTAAGCCATCCAACAAAGTTACAAAATCTTACCTCCAGGAATACCTAACTCATATATCATGCTTTCTTCTCACCGCCCACCCCGACATGATATAGTGAGTGAAGTAGGTTTAGAGTTATGGAAAGTTAAGAACCATCAGGCTTAGAGGTGCCACCAATCTCGAAGTCATTGACTGTTGATGTGTATTTTGCAAAGTATCTGTCTGTCTGTCTGTTTTTGACATAGAACTTTGCACCGATGTGCAGCAGTTCAAGTCACCACACCATGTAGCACACAAAGCAAAGGAAGAAAGTAAAAAGAAATGCATAATAAAGACGGTAAGCAGAGGTGTGAGACAAAGGAATAGTAATAAGGAGGAACAATATAGTTTCATTGGAAATCATAAGTCACAAGGGGTGGATTCATCTGCGCCAGCTAGTGAGAACGATTTTGAACCATATCACCGATTGTCTCCAGCCATTGATGTTCACCGTCCCGAGGACCCCAACCAGGAAGTCTACGCCTTCCTGTGTGGCTGGCTTAAACTAACTGTTGTGGATTTCATTGACTGGTGAGGACCTGTTTTGGTTTGAACACCCGGCTCTTTTCCAGCCAGACCCTATTTCAGCTAACACTGCCCATTGTTGAGGAAAACGATGGCTAGTGATGCATACGTAAGACATGTCCTAACCGTGTCAGTCGATGTAACTTCACAGCCTCGTCGATTGATTTCCCTTCCGCCTTACTTAGCACTCTATCGAAGCCGGAACTCAATATTACTTACCTTATTACACGACTTCACATGGGAGGTAGAAATCAGTCACCTACGATGAAAGACAGCTAATCTTTTCATGTCTTCAACTGTCAATGGCTAGGTCTCACATCTATGAAGGAGGATGGAGCGGACTGATGGGCAGTACACACGCCCATTGGTCGATAGCCGGATATGGCGTCTACGCCAGAGACAGCGTGAACTGGCATGTGCGAAACTAGCCCTCTGTATCCGTAGTCAGCTGAGATTTCGTCAGCGATCAACCTGTTGGCGCTGGTTGATGCAACTTCCCAAATAAGTGAAGCGGTCAACGTGCTCTACCACTTCACTTCCTATTTGTAATCTAGGAGTCAGTGTAGTCGAGTCCTGTATCATCATCTTGCATTTGGCGGGAGCGAATCGCAGACTACAACTCAAGGCTTTCAGAAGACTGTGCATTTTGTTAGCGTCTTCAGCTAGCGGGGGGGGGGGGACTATATCCTCTGCATATTCTGAGTCAAGGAGATTATAGCCTTGCAAGAAGTCAATCGCTCAGTCTCTGAAGTGAGTTAAGGTTAAGTCCATTAGTGTATCCATGATGAAACTGAATAGAAACGGGCATAGTGGGTATCCCTGACAGACACCATTAGTCGTCACCACTTTGGATGACAACTCGCCGTGAGCCCTCACTTGGCTGCATGAGTTCGAGTAGAGTGCCTTGATCAGTGCAATGTATTTTCTCGGGATTCTTTTTACAGTCAAGCATCACCATAGGACCTCTCGGTTGACAGAATCGAATTCCGCGTTTAGGTCAAGAAATATAACGATTGTCAGATGCTGGTAGGAATGCCTATGTTTCACAATCTGTCAAAGGGTGATGTGAAGTATTTTGCTCTGTCCAATTCGATACATCGGATCTGTAGTTAGAGATTCTTGATAATTCGGTTTGTGTTTTCGTCCATGTCTTGTCTTCATCTTATTGTATTTCTTTTATCATAAGGTGGAGCACTAAACAGTTATCAGTGGTGCATAACTCTATCTATCTGTCCGTTTGTCAAACAAACGAGCAACAGAAAGACTGAATCAGTTAATGTAGGAAAACTGGGCTGGATCTTCTTTTCTCTTAACAACTTATCGTATTTTGAAACTGTTGGAATCCACAGTACAAGTGTGTTGTAATCCTCGAAAATATTATCTGTGTACAGTGCACTTAGTGGGCGGTTGTGGTGACAGTCTGTTGCACTAAATGAATAATTGGGAGATGGTAGGGTTTCTAAATTGTGTTGGATTTTTCAGCAGTTAAATCAAAAGTTTTGTTGTTAGGATCACACTACACCCAGTTGGCTGCTAATGCAGTGTTTCATTTAACCTGCAAAACACTTATAATCCTAATTGACGTTTATTGTTTTCTATTACCTAACAAAAGCTACTCTCTGACCACTATAAAATGAATGTTTCCCCCCTCTCTCTCTCTCTCTCTTCACTTTTCAGTTATGCAAAGACAGTTGTGAAGCACAAGCATGGAGTGTCGGCTGTATCCTAGAGGCTATTTACGATCTTGTCTTCGTGGAAAGCAAATAATCCTTGTTAATTTTCAGAATTAATTTTAGCATTATTATTATTATTTCAACAGTAGTTTAATATTCTCTAATCAGAAATGATCACACCCTTATTTTTAAATTATCATTATGTGCATGAATTTTATCTTGATATTTCTAACTTTTATCAGGTTTTCCTGTTCCTTTTGTTTTTTTTTTTTTGCTTTGCAATCCGTGGCCTACTAGTCATTTATTATTATTTCTAATATTTATAGTGCTTTCATCACAATGTAAATTTATAGACAAATATAGAATAATTTAACCTTTTCACACTCCCTAATAAATAATATGATGCTGAAATGCTTTCTGTGTGTGCTTACTGTCCTTATGGAATAAACTTGGCGGATGACTTTCCCGTCAAATAGGACTCATGTTTGTCATCATAATGCAGATAGACTGTTGTTATTATATCGTTCTAGGGTTACACTTCTTTCTATGAGATCATCTGCTTTCTGTACAATAATATATTGTGTCGTGTCACAGGACAAATTGATCAGAGATACAAATGGGGGAGTGGCAATGAGCTGGTAGAATGCATGTTAAGGCAATAATGAAATCCTCCCGGCGTCCAAGCGACTGCGAACGGGAAACATCAATAAGCTTTTTTTGCAGTAAGTAAACTCATATGGTGAATAAGAGATGAAATATATGACGGCAAGCTGTTTCACTTGACTATTAAATCAGTAAACATTTCCCAAAAGAAAGCGATCAAATGCAACTCGGTGTGTTTTGTGCATAATGTGCATTAGCCGTACCAAATGACTATTTATGATGTAGTTATAACAGTTCCCAGGTGTTCATGTCTACCAGCTTGATACTTCATTGAAGAACTTCAACTTACTCTTAGTTCTGGTAGGTGGTGTATCGCAATCGTCCAGTTAATCTCCAGTTTCCTTACGTCCGATAGATTTATGAATATAAATGCAACTGAGAGTCTTAAACAAGTTAGAGAAAAATGAGAATGAAGTACTTGTACTTGTTTATAAAGAGGAATAATGTTGCAGTGTATCTTACAAAGTGGATTGTTAAATTGCATACGTTAACTTAAAGCAGCCGAGTAGATTTAGTATCTACTCAATAAACTACGATTTGACACAGCTTGATGACATGCAGTCTGACGTTTCTCATACACTGAACAAGTAAGCTCCAGTCTTTTTTAAAGCAGAAAGGTGAGTCGTAATTGAATTATAAGATCGCTTTGTGGCACAGTGCAAATATGAACGAAAACAGCAATAAGGAATCTTGGTTTCATTTCATTCAGTCATGTATCTATGTTTAAAATAGATTGATATATAAAAAGTTTAGCCAATGACGGTGAGTTTTGGGATCAAATAATAAAAATAGTGTTAAGTGTCTATAATAACGATGATTATAATGATGAGGGAGATAATGATAATAAGGTTTATGCAGGTGGCGATGAGAAGAACGAAGATATTGGTAGACAGTTCAATGAATAAATTAGATCACATCTTAAAAATTACGTAGTACTAAAAGTGAGGTGGACAGACAATCAGAATTAAAATAAATATCATGAAAATACGAAGGAAAGGGAAGATAAGAAAGGGTTGGAGGGTTTTAATTAGAACCCGAAGTAGAACAAAACTTCATTTTTATGCAAAAATTGTTGTTGGGATTGTTCTGTCGAATCCACCTAGCTTCGGATATGCGTGAAAGGCGGGTTCGAAAGGTTCTATGAAATGCAATAGATAACTTCGGAGGCACTTCTTCTGTCCACTTGGTGAACGCTATTAAATAAAACTTCTTATAGATTTTATTTGACGTCTTCCGAACCATGAAGGAAGATGCTCCGTAATACGCATTTTTACGATATTTATTTTAACTCTGATTATCTGTCCACTTCACCTTTAGCATTAAGTAACTTTTAAGATTTGACCTAATTTATTTATTGAATTGTCTACATATTTGTAATGAAATCAAAACCTGGCATGGAAAATAAGAATAATGCAAATCCAGTGCTGGAATTATTAGCAATATTGTTGGTCAGACTGCCATCGGTGTTGTTGAGTGATAAACGGACAGTTACGTGGGCATTACTCATGGTGACTGTAGTGAAATGATGATCTGGTAGACCGTCGAGTGAGAAATCTGGTAGCTGTTGCTTCGACTGCTACCGCGATCCATCTTCATTCACTCACTATTCATTAAAAAAAACGTGTTCTCTACACAACCATTATTTCTCCTATACTTCAGCACAATCTAAACAAATTAGATCCCAGTGTCATTAAGCTTTCCGCCAAATAATAAACATAAATAATTATATAGTGATCAACTCGACATTTATTTTCTAAGCAGATTTGGTGGAAATGCATTGCATGCTTTCTATAATAATAAGGATAGCACAAACACTGTTGATAAAGGCAACATTCTTGATGTGTTCAACGAAAACGATACAAAAATTAACACAAAAAGACCTGAAGGAATGACTAGTACACATTTGAATTATTCAGTACATAGAATTGTTGCCTGGTGACACCATAAGTAAATATCTTTAAATTTCTTTAGAACTTTTCTTCGATATTGAAAATCTACTAATTTTATGCAGTGAACCTGATGTTTGGCTTTTGCGTAGAACTGGAACTGATGGATAAGACTGTTCACTTTCAATGTTATGCGATGTACTGCTTCTAAGTAGAGTAGGAGTTTGATGACTGGCAGTAGACGAAGCAGAAGAAATAGAAGAATATTTGAAAGTCAGCCAACGCATTACTTGTCTTGGAGATAAGGCTTTCATTGTACGTACTGAGGGGAATCTCCTAATTCGAATTTGAGATGATTCTATACTCTGAACAAAATCATCTACATCATTGTCATCTTGACCTGAACTGTGTCTCCTTATACAGGAAATTTGTTGTGTTGTTTTTGACCGTAATATTTGTGTTAATGTCGATTTTTTAGAAGTTGCTGGGGTTCCTTGAATATCCATAATAACCAGTGGACTTTCAAGTTCTTCAGAAGGCCTTGATAAGGTGATCATGGTTGGACCAGATGTAGGTCGTTTTTGTTGGTTGGCGTTTTGGATTGAAGTGATCCACTTTGACATAATCTCAGAATTCGGAGCCTAGTTTGAAGAGTAAAACGAATATATATATATATAACATTTACAGATAATTCACTATATGTGGTTTTCACCTAATAAAATATTTGATGGTCATTCTAGCTTAATGCTAACTATACCCTGCATACTCTGTGAAGACATAAAATACATAACTGCAGACTATCACCTTCAGCTGTAAGCTCATTATTGGGTTGTCCGTAGATTACAAGGCTGTAGCTATTGAAATTTGTGACACGAATTCAATGTTTTGTAATGTACTCGACTGTCATTCAACTTCAAATTCAACTTATTTTCTATTTACCTCCATTTGCTGTTTTACCTGATATCAACAAAAAATACTTTTCTATGCAAAATGTGTGCGATGCTTGAAATATGTCATAGGTCTGACTACGTAGAAAAAGATACGTATTGCGTAACCGTTCCTCTGCTGATAGAGAAGCACCTCAGTTGTCCAAACAACTTGTAGGACTATGATGTATCTATCATCTCACAATGTTTTGAATCAATAAGCTGACATGTGCATTTCTTAAAAAAGCCTAGAGAAATAAGTGAAATAATTTTTACTCACTTGAAATAGATACTGAGCGCCTGTAGAGGTAACTGTAACCCGAAAAGTGTTCGGTCGCTTTGTATAATCTAATGTCTCATTGGCGGTTAGTAGGTTTGGTCCAATCAATAATCCCATTTCTCCACGAAATGTGTTACTCTCAGGACTGAAATGTAGATGGAAAATCATTTTTAACTTTGGTTATATGTCGATCGGTTGAAGTAGATTTTGAGGAAATGAACATCATATAAGAACCTCGGAAGTGACGAGCTGGAAGCACTTTACTGAGGGTCTTGTATTTAGAAGTCACTTATTGGGTATTTACACAAAATTTAAAAACTCACTAAAAATAATGAATACATTTGCAGATTTGTAGAAATAATTATGTCAGTATCCCAGCAACATTCGTCTGTTCATTTAAATGAAGGTGTTGGTTGCAAACTTATAAACATTCCTGCTTAAAAACTTTACGGGTAGTACACTTCAAACAGAATCCAGATACCGGGGCTACTGTCATTCTTCATCATAAACTAAGAACTTTACTAGGTTTCCTCGGTTTTGCGCTAATGCCTCACAAGAGTGACAGTTTCAATAATTGGTTCAATAAACTAGAAATTCAAGTGTTGGTGTGTAGGGATTTGATTGATTGGTTACAGTATTTCATCATGAGCTGATAGGGGTTAGAGAACCATATGAAAACCTGGGAGTACTGGACAACTGTTTTGTCCCAGTCAGGGACTCTTCAATGGTACGCACCCACCGGGATTCAAACCCGGGACTTTCTGGTTACTAGGCGAGCTCGTAGACGATTAACCCAATGGGACCTAATCCAATGGCCCATGAATTCCAGCTTCTGCCAATTCACGACATAGCGCGACCACTAGCCAATGTTTTCGGCGATGACAAATGTCATCGATAAATATGAAAGCAAACAAAAGTTTTCATGAGGAATGGAATTCCTCCTAATTTTCCAAATAATTTGATTGACTACAAGCAGATGTCTATAAAAGTGAAAAGTGTTTGTGCTGATGAATGAATCAGTGTATCACGGATATTCAATCAATACAAATGAATATTCAGCTGTATCTTCAATTGTAGACATCACTTTGACTTGTGAATGCATCATTTCAGATAGTATTTAGAAGAACTGGCGGTTGTAGCTTTTAGTGTGTCAGTTACCTCATGAGAGTAACTGTCAGCTTTCAGTAGTGGTTATGCAAAATTAAGGAAAGTGGCTTACAAGTATAAAATGTTTGTTTTGAAGTGTTGTCAGCATTATTGTCAGTGGACAATTAATATTTCTTACTAGAATATTCATTTAGTGATTGGTTTTGAATGGATTTCCATTCACTTTATTAAGTCACATTCTAACGAATATCGATAATAAACATATATCGATCACAATCCAGTTAAATGAGCATTCCATTGGAAATGTTGGTATTTAGCATAAGGAAATAAATGTGTAAGCAGGGGATCGGAATATGGAAACGGAGGATGATTACGAAGATTGTTATTATTTTTCACTCCTTTGCATTCCAAGGAGAAGATAAGGCTTCCAGCTGGAGCTTCGAATTCGTAGTAACAGTGGTGTCAGCATTTTATGGGATGGAGCTGCTAACCTCACACCAAACATTTTCTTTCTGGGTTTAACTAAGAGCCAGGCGAGATTTCAGAGTGCACCAATCGAACTCAGATCACGTGGATGTTTGGCAAACTTTGAAGCATGAAGATGATCATAAAAGTCTCTAAATATTGATAGATACCATCTTCATGAACTGTCCATTCGGTCTACTTTCATCTTTGTTCGGCAGAACAAGTAAATAAGACAAAGAGGTAGAGTGAACGTTGGCTGTATTTTGACATAACTGCCAGAAGTATATTAATTACCTAACTGGTGAGATCACTAAGACCAAATGGATATGAAACTATAAATTGTGAATTTTAAAGTATATCTAATCAGTTAACTTCCAGTAAATGTCAATTTAAAGCATTACTTACAGCTATAAGACTATCACTCTAATCGTCTAAAGTAGGTTTGATCCAGCTCAACTGTTATTCAAAACAAAAATATTGTGTAGATAGTAAATGAATTCACTAGTAGACAGAAAATATCCTACTGTTACATTCCTCTGTGAATGTTTAAGGTTAGTAGGTTTGTCCAAACAGAATATATCATTATAATCAAGAATCCAGTAAGTTTATTCAATGTGTAATACACTGCATAGATTTTAAGTCGGTCCAGCATGTTGACACATGTTTTTATTTTATGATTGTTCTTTTAAATGCTTTTAGTCATTACAAATCTATAAATGCTGTTTACTAAAATAACAATGAATGCATTGGTGCAATCACCTAATTGTTATGTAGGCCAGTGGATCATAACTGATCGTTCAATACGAGAGGAATGATTATCTGACGTATACTTCTTGTCCTGATTAGAATTGTCTCGAACGATCGATCACAGAGTGGAGTAAGTGATTATACTATTACAGTGACTTCTTTTATTAAATATTATACGTTGTGTGCAGGTGATGAGGGCCAATGAAATAAAATGGATCCATGTTATTCTGCACCAATGTTTTTTTATTTTTTATTTCTCTATCCAAACTAACTCTGTCACGTACAGTTCATTAACATATGGGACTTCGTCGAAAAGAAAACTGTCTTCTCTGCAATGTCTTCTTAATAACATCTGTTTACTTAAAACTTCACAGTTGTTGAAATTACTTATAGTTGTTTAAGCCATTCATTACGAAGCTTTATGTAATAAACTCAAATGAAGTGGTATACAATTGGTGGATGGTGGCTAGCAGTGGAATCCAGGATGCGCATTTCGTCCTATTTGGGACTCGTCAGCTGGATGTACCTGCATTTCTCAGTGAGTGATGATGTTCCCACCGAGGCTCGAACCCAGTACCCATAGTTTCAAACGCCAAAGCGTTATCCACTAGACCACTTGGGCCACGAGAGCCACCTCTTGTGCAACGGGTCATATTAATTGTTGAATTGAATTCTTGATTTTCCCGTCGATTGATTGGACCGAAGTGCTCGGTCTCAGGTTGACATGTTGGCTTCTTGTGCAGATGCTTCGACGATGTCCGGGCATTTAGTTAGTATACAATTGGTGGATGGTGGCTAGCAGTGGAATCCAGGATGCGCATTTCGTCCTATTTGGGACTCGTCAGCTGGATGTACCTGCATTTCTCAGTGAGTGATGATGTTCCCACCGAGGCTCGAACCCAGTACCCATAGTTTCAAACGCCAAAGCGTTATCCACTGGACCACTTGGGCCACGAGAGCCACCTCTTGTGCAACGGGTCATATTAATTGTTGAATTGAATTCTTGATTTTCCCGTCGATTGATTGGACCGAAGTGCTCGGTCTCAGGTTGACATGTCGGCTTCTTGTGCAGATGCTTCGACGATGTCCGGGCATTTAGTTAGTATACAATTGGTGGATGGTGGCTAGCAGTGGAATCCAGGATGCGCATTTCGTCCTATTTGGGACTCGTCAGCTGGATGTACCTGCATTTCTCAGTGAGTGATGATGTTCCCACCGAGGCTCGAACCCAGTACCCATAGTTTCAAACGCCAAAGCGTTATCCACTAGACCACTTGGGCCACGAGAGCCACCTCTTGTGCAACGGGTCATATTAATTGTTGAATTGAATTCTTGATTTTCCCGTCGATTGATTGGACCGAAGTGCTCGGTCTCAGGTTGACATGTCGGCTTCTTGTGCAGATGCTTCGACGATGTCCGGGCATTTAGTTAGTATACAATTGGTGGATGGTGGCTAGCAGTGGAATCCAGGATGCGCATTTCGTCCTATTTGGGACTCGTCAGCTGGATGTACCTGCATTTCTCAGTGAGTGATGATGTTCCCATCGAAATGCGCATCCTGGATTCCACTGCTAGCCACCATCCACCAATTGTATACTAACTAAATGCCCGGACATCGTCGAAGCATCTGCACAAGAAGCCGACATGTCAACCTGAGACCGAGCACTTCGGTCCAATCAATCGACGGGAAAATCAAGAATTCAATTCAACAATTAATATGACCCGTTGCACAAGAGGTGGCTCTCGTGGCCCAAGTGGTCTAGTGGATAACGCTTTGGCGTTTGAAACTATGGGTACTGGGTTCGAGCCTCGGTGGGAACATCATCACTCACTGAGAAATGCAGGTACATCCAGCTGACGAATCCCAAATAGGACGAAATGCGCATCCTGGATTCCACTGCTAGCCACCATCCACCAATTGTATACTAACTAAATGCCCGGACATCGTCGAAGCATCTGCACAAGAAGCCGACATGTCAACCTGAGACCGAGCACTTCGGTCCAATCAATCGACGGGAAAATCAAGAATTCAATTCAACAATTAATATGACCCGTTGCACAAGAGGTGGCTCTCGTGGCCCAAGTGGTCTAGTGGATAACGCTTTGGCGTTTGAAACTATGGGTACTGGGTTCGAGCCTCGGTGGGAACATCATCACTCACTGAGAAATGCAGGTACATCCAGCTGACGAGTCCCAAATAGGACGAAATGCGCATCCTGGATTCCACTGCTAGCCACCATCCACCAATTGTATACTAACTAAATGCCCGGACATCGTCGAAGCATCTGCACAAGAAGCCGACATGTCAACCTGAGACCGAGCACTTCGGTCCAATCAATCGACGGGAAAATCAAGAATTCAATTCAACAATCAATATGACCCGTTGCACAAGAGGTGGCTCTCGTGGCCCAAGTGGTCTAGTGGATAACGCTTTGGCGTTTGAAACTATGGGTACTGGGTTCGAGCCTCGGTGGGAACATCATCACTCACTGAGAAATGCAGGTACATCCAGCTGACGAGTCCCAAATAGGACGAAATGCGCATCCTGGATTCCACTGCTAGCCACCATCCACCAATTGTATACTAACTAAATGCCCGGACATCGTCGAAGCATCTGCACAAGAAGCCGACATGTCAACCTGAGACCGAGCACTTCGGTCCAATCAATCGACGGGAAAATCAAGAATTCAATTCAACAATTAATATGACCCGTTGCACAAGAGGTGGCTCTCGTGGCCCAAGTGGTCTAGTGGATAACGCTTTGGCGTTTGAAACTATGGGTACTGGGTTCGAGCCTCGGTGGGAACATCATCACTCACTGAGAAA